GCTTAATAAATAGATACTTTTGAAATATAGAATTTTTTACTATACTTAAAGCAATGATCTAGTCTTTAATATGTTACATATTTTGAATATATCACTTCTTAGGTTGTAAGTTATGATGTCAAATGTTAAAGTAGTTTAAATGTTCATGGTAAAAATATTATTCATTCATTTATGTAAATGATAAGTAAAACAATGAACACATAGACTCTATGTTGACCAAAAGATTTTGAGTAGATTTCTGTTATCTAATTTAAAAGAAAAACATTCGTCCGTATTCTAAACATGATCTCCAGGATATAATTTATGCCCAAGAAGATTTTTTTCCCTTAGTATATATGTCTCGATATATCAGTGTTCTTAAGCTCCGATTATGTTAAGCAAGGAGACCATAAATAAGACAGATGGAAAAGAATTCTCATGAACAAAATGCCTCAGAGACAAATATAGATTTATTATACGAAGTCTTTCATTGTTACTTATTAACTAAGAACTACTTCTACATCTTGGGAGTGAATAATGGAAGACGGGTTGTTTACGAAATTGAGAGGGCGAAAAGCGAATCTCCGCGCTTTAACCGGGTCGGTGGATATGGAGAGTCCACCCAGGGGAGTTGGGAAACCCTGATTCCAAACCGATGGTGCACATGGGCTCCAGTATCCTGAAGGAACAAATGGCGTATGAAGCAATCGTTGGTCACCGGCTACCATGGGACTGCATCACCTTAAGTTGCTCCACCGCCTTGTGGATCAGACCTTCAGGTCGAAGGCTCCGGATGTGGCCCTGTAAGAAAACCACTTGCTTCGGTTTGGGCACCCGGGAAGTATCACAGCCCTCATACATATCAAATGAGATCTGTGTGGTGCATATGTATTTGGTGCCTCCTTGTACCAATATCTATGCGTTCAAATAAATAAATAAATAAATAAAATTATGGAAAATACTAAGCTTGGGTGAGTAGTTCATTAAAATGAAAAATGACTGTAATAGGCCGATTAGAACAGCGACTAATATAGATAGTTTGGGATGGGAAAAGGTATTATGCATCCGATACAGCACAAATTACTAAACATCATTGCTTGAATATTCTCTGGTGATTTACAAGCATGTTAACTGGAAATTAAGATTAATAAGTGGATGACAATCATAGCTTCATTTACAGATTTTCGATTAATTAATTAACACAGACTGAGTGAAATCATGCACTGATCAATGTTAGATCACCATTGAAAGTCTGGGAGCACTGGACGGCCGTTTCATTCTAATATGGGACTTCTCAATGAAATTCAAAAACTCCACAAACTCAAGCTGATCATTTGTTTTAATACGTAGTATATCTCACGAAAACTCAGAAATGATTTTTTACAATGTTCATCATTGTTGTCTTGTTGTCTTGTCAGGATAAAAATCTACTCTCTTGATTGGTAGAAAATATGGGCACCAAGTACTTTGATATTTGAAATGTCAAAATGTCAGAACATGACACTGGAACTTTTAAAACAAAACTGTCTACACTTTGTGATTAATGAATGACATGATCCCTGTTGTCGTCCCAATCTAGTTTATAAGTAAATATTGATAGGACATTGAGCAAACTAACCCGTGTACGAAAACAATCTGGTAGTTAGAAAAGTTGCAAAAACTTACATCGCCGTTCGTCTTGGACAAAAATTCTATCAGTTGATGAGATATATGACAAATAAAAGATACAATGACATCTAGAAAGAAAAACTATATTACATTAAATAGATATGTCACACCGGGACATTTTTGCACAACATAGAATGTAAGGGCGTTTAATAAAAACAAGTGGTACACTTCTGAAATATAGGGCTGTAGCTAACTAGTGAATATTAATAAAGCTGAAGTCGCTTGAGGGTATTCGTGATTTGAAAGCCAAATGGCCTGTGTGAGAAAATATTGATTTGTCTTATCACTTACTACAATGTGTGTGTTGTTATTCATCTCCAATCTTAGACTATTTTGTGGTTAGTGAAAATGAAGAAACCTGTAACGGGAAACTACATAATTACGATTTAGAGATACTGTTCAAAATTTTGAGGAATATATGACAATAAGTATCCCTCTTTAACAAATGGATACTAGTATATGTGCATTATGGGATAGCACATTATGCGATAATAGTAGCTAGAAAGAGAAAAGCGTTATTTGTTAAAGTTACTGAGTGATTATTTTGTTCTTCATTATCCATTTCTAAAATGCTTCAGAAGAGAACTAGATGTTTCTAATCATGCACACCAGTATATTTGAAAAATTGATTACAATTTTCATTTGAAACTTCATATTTTGATAGACGGACTGTGGTTACTATTTACTGGATAAATATTATTATATTGCTGAAAATATGATTAAAATTTACACTTGTGATTCGTTGTCAAACGTCTCAGTATGTGAAGATAAAATACTCGAGCGGTGAACAAAATACATGAAGAGTTACAATGTTATTGATGTCAAATGTAAAACCATTTATTAATGAATGGTCACACCATTAAAATGTTCAAAATACTGACGAGTAACTTTGGAAGAGCATGTTTTATCAAAATAATTGTTTAATAACCAAATATCTAGCATTTATTTTATTTTGTTGAAAGAACTTTAACTTGTGAGCCCACTGACTGTCTTCAATAAGAACAGTCTCTAAATGATACTAAGTATATATATACTGTTCAACAATAGATTTAATGGCTTTACGTTGTCTTAGTTCACAATTAGGGCATTTCATGAAACTTCAGTCACTTTAATCACATGCATACTAGGCAAAATGTCATCATATATTTTCTAGTCTAATCTATGCTTTTCTTATGAATAACGCTGCCTTATTAACAAAGCATATTCATGTGTTCAGTTGCTAGTTTGTCATATTAATGTGAGATGTTTGACCAGCCAATGTACTTTTATTTTTTATTCTTGCTTTATATAATTTAGACAGCGTTCATCCATGTCATTTATCACAAATATTATATGATTTTTCATTGAGGTCATATTAGAATAAATCATCACGTTTAAAACATCAGCTTTGAATGGATATTCATGATTGATTACTAATATAAGATATGGGTTAAGTGAATCTTAGTTAATAATATTGAATATATATAAACAGACAAGAACTAAGAGAGTAAAATCATCATTAAATATCGAACAGAGTGTAAGGCTATCTATAGGTATTTAACTACTCAATAAATGTGCAGTATGAAATATCGTTAAACGGTTTCACATTCGTTTGATGTGTGATTATTATATCTATGAGTGTGATTTTCACCGGATATTTCCTTTCAAGTAGCTTAAGTAATCCACATCGATCCGCTATGAACAATATGCTGGAAGAAAAACGAAAATAAAGTGAAAGTTAGGGTCTAGAATGAAATATGCAACGATAAATATACTCTTAGATACAACACTCATCCAATAAATAAACGGAAAAATGCCTGAAAATACTTGATTCCACACACTTACTAAACATCGAAAAAGTAATTAATAACCTTATATGTGGAGAGATATGTTTTATTTGAATGTTTTAATTGATGTAGATTTTCGGAAGTTGGTAATTTATTACTGGTGAAAAGTGTAACAGTAGAGCTAGTGCATTATTTTGATGAATTATAAAGATTTATGTACCAATGAAATAGAAGTTGTCAATGTAGTCTTATCGGGTCTATTAAATGTAAAATTTTATATAAAGCTAAATATTATCAAAATCAGTATTTTTTATCTAATTTTTATTTAATTTTATTTAAGTAACCTATTACGATCCTTTTCAACATCACTCACTAGATTTGAACCAATGGTGTCTATTAAAGACTGATACCCAGTAAATGGGTTTCGGTTTAAATGGTTAATGTGTAAAAAAAGTAGAGGCTTAGGTCCATAAAAGGTGTTACATTTGTCTTCACGATAAAAGATGGTTTTATATATTCAAGAAGACAGAAATTTCTCTCTGTGTGTAATGGTCAGTCTTGAAATATTTGAATATTTGAAATATTTGGATATTCATTCTACTAAATGACTGATGCATCAAAAAGGATAATTGGTTTAATAAAGAAGGAACGAATTGAGAGAAAAATTGAAAAGAAATTTCTTCGCTCAATTCGTTCCTTCTTTATTTACCAAATGGCGAAATGGGAATTTTCACTAATTGGTTTAAATTAATTTGCTTCCAGTGTGAAATAGCACTAACCTTACTTGACATCGTCAGTGGATAAATGTCTTACTTCTTACTTGGCTGATGTAACAAGCCACTACTTGCTGCTAGATTTTCTAGAAATCCATTTCCAATCCAGTAAATTGTCAGCACATAATTATTATTTACCTTAGTATTTTCTGATTAAATTTATATTATATCAAAGTTTTCGAGATGAAACAATATCAGCTAGCAAATAGTAAAAAAAAACAGTTCTCCTTGACGAGTGGTTTCATTCTATTTTGGAAATCTTCAGTAAAGAAAACGCACAATCTCCTATGGTATTAGAACCAAAACTTTAAGTTCTTGAGAGAAATATCGACTCATTCACTGAAAACATGATGGTTTTAGTGGTAACCCATATGCATCATGTGTTCCTGTAGAACATATTTTTTAAGTTTAATCCCATGTGAAATAATAGCTATGTATCACTGATAGGTTCCAAGACAGTTGGTCATCGTCTTACACTTTACTTCAATTCCTTGACTAATATCAGTTCATTGTGCAAATTATTTTAACAATAAAAAAGTACATTGCTTTATTTGATTTCACAAAATAACATTTGTAAGATGCAAAAATCCATAATAGCTTACTGGAATATTTTAATTGTTTAGAAAATATGAACCCTGATCTACATTAGAATGCTTTGATACTAACACTTAATTATACTGGGATAATCATTAGAGTTAAATTAAAACAAAGAAGTAGTATTTTTTTAGGGGGGGGGTAACAAAATTATTTTTGTGAATTAATAAAAAATCTAATATTATTATGTTCATTTTTTTTATTTTCTCAGTGAATTGGAATGAGAACAATACCGCTGATTGTAATGAATTATTTATTTTTAAGTAAGTTCAATTTTCTAAATTTGTAAATGTATTTGTTTATTACCTAAATACAAGAGAACGAGAGAACAAAATTCTTTGAACGAATAAATATTTGAAGGGTTTTGTGGATATTATAGTTATTTCAATGGTTGAGATCATGAATCAATTGAAGCTAGACCACCATGAAAAATCTGGAAGCACTGGCCGGCCTATTAAGAACGTGCACTGCTGAGGAGTCCCACAATAGGCCGTCCAGTGCTTTCTGGTTTTCCATTCTTGTCTAGCTTCAACTGACTCATGATCTCAACCACTGGAATAAATATTTTTTTATATTATGGTGGTAACCATTTTTATGATAAAATTTCTACTTTTTATCAAACTTACAAGTCAATAACTTGACAATCATCTTATTGACATAGTTTGATAGTTTTTCAAATGAATCATTACAATTTCCTCTTGTAATTAAATAAAACGTTTGAATTCAAATGGTCTATTAGTATATGTTCTTCAGAATAATTTTATTATCATTGAAAAGTAGTTATCAAATATTATTTTATTTTTGTAAGTATGCTTAAAGATTGCTGCAGTCTCCAAAAAAATGTTTATATTAGTTTCTATCTCAGTTTCCAGTTCTGTAATTTTGTAAAAGCAGAGAATTATTTTGTAGTAAAAGTTTTATATTAAAGGGAGCAAGAACGAAGATTGGTACAGAATAATATGAATTCATTTTATTTCGTTAGGTTCACAGCAGATGCTTACAGATATTGACATACTTATAAATACGAGGGTGATTAGAGATGGATATGTGTATCATGATGTAGAGAAGATTCTAATAGAGTTAATAGGGTCATAAAAATTGTTTGTTTTAGATAAATAAAGTTTAAGAGGGAAAGTTCCAGAATATTGAAATAGTGATTAGAACTCATGTTGCTAACACACATCAGATGATTGCGTAATGACATTCATTCATGAGAAGATTAGGAGAATGAGAAAAAAAACCATTTACTACTTTTAACTTTTCTAATTTCCTTGTTGACCTAACTACATCCCTTCTGCGAATGTTAACATTCTGAATACCCGTTAAAAGACCGTATACTCATGGATGAAACTATAAAGTTATCTAATAAAGTTATCAATATTAACTGCTACTACGGTGAACAAACTTCAGACGTTTTGAGAAACCATTCATTGTAGTTCCCTACTAAATTAGATTAAATTATTTATCTGTAAAAAAACAATCATCTATTTCTTTTTATAAGTGTTAACTTAGTGAAATAATGTCTTTTCTTCACATTTATATAAAAATTATTTTGAGTCATTTGAATTTAAGGAAACTCATCATGATGCATCATGAAAGCATGCTTTCTTCGACTTGGATTAGATATAAATATAGTGGTTATAATTTTTATAGTTGTTCAGACCATAGCTATTTAGTAGAATCCTCTGTGAACTGAACAGGACAATTAAACCTGTGGCTATCAACGTTTATGATTCCTAATACTTTAAAAAACAGTATTTTTAGTTATCATTTCTTGAGACTCATCGAACTGGAAATTGTAGTTCTGCTTCATAATATATTTAAGAATGTATCAAAATAATGTACATCTGTATGTGTTACAATAAATATAACATGCTTGGTAAAAGTACTTTAAAGAACTATCCGGAAGATGTATTCATTTTAATATTCTCTAAAGTCCAATGTTGCTAAAAGTGTGATATGTTTTGAATCGTTTACTTATTACTATAATTGTTGCTATTGTTATTGCCGGATCGTGGGTGCGCACTGCTGAGTAGTCCCATACCAGGAGGAAATAGCTATCCAGTGCCTCCAGGTTTTCCAGACTGGTCTAATATTGATCGGTTCATGATCCCAAATAATATTGTCACAATGTTCGTGGGGATTTATTGATTATTAAACTCTATAGCACTGACTGATTTCAGTAATTCAGCCTTCGAAAATCGGGTAGCATTAGGCAAACATTTCTCTTCCTTATGGAATTAATCAGCAGTACATCTATTGTTGTCATTACCTTTGAAATTATACACACTACTATTGTTATTTTTATTATTGAACAAAATGGATAATCGAAAACACGAGTTTTTCTAAACATTTTAATAATAGATTAGTAATCTTTTGTTCAAATTATTTTATTTAACTTACAATGGAAGGATAATCTTATTAAAAGAACAACAATTAAACGTATATGTTTCGTTGATGCAACAGGATGATGTTGATCTTGAAACTTTGTTGTAATTGCTACATATATTTGGAACAATCTGGTCACTCACATAGTAGTCAAGGCATTTTCATAAAATTTTTTAATCAAGATCACTTAAATCAAAAGTCAAATAAGTGCTTGATTTGTAATTACGAATAAAATAATACCATTCTTTAGACGGACTTCAATTTGTTTTTCTATGACGTTATATATATATATATATATGCATAAAAGGACATTTGTTGAAAATATTACAAGAATTAGTCATATTACTTGACCATGACCTGAAAATTAAATTTAACATATTTATTAATGTAGATAAATCAAATATGTTTCTACTTCTTTTCTGGTCAGTGACTATAATAGTAGTATAATGCCATATTTTTTTCGATAAACTAAATGACAGAAATGAGAGACGTAAAATTCTGAAAACTTTATCATAATATTCTAATTATAAAAAAATCTGGTAGTTACTAACAACTGAATTTTGAAGTATTTATTGCGTTTAAATTAAAAGCTATAGTATAACAAATGATAACTCTAGACATGAAAAATTGACTACGAAGTTTTCCACAATAGTTACATACATTGTAGTAATATGAATAACGGATATGGAGTAGAAAAATATAACAAACATATTTCTTGGAGATAAGAGTTATTGATGTTCTGGAGTTAAGTGAACGGGCGAGGGGAGCAAGGACCAATAAGGACGCTAGACTGCTCATACCGGTCGGACGTTATTGGTTTAGCTCAGTACAAGAGTGAATAAGTCGTATTTAGATTGGGGAATAAATCACGTGATAAAAAGCCGAGCTTGAAGTCACAACAGCATCCTTCTTCAACCACATTAGTTTACTCAGATATCTATTCTATGTTATTGAATCTAATTCACAAATATGTAGGGTAGAGGTGCTTTGTATATTCTTTACTATAATTCCGAATTCTATGGAATTACAGATATTAAAACTTCATATTATCACTTCAGAACTTTTTCATTGACTTGAATTTAATGTATAATAGATTCAAAAACGAACGAGAATATTTTAAATATTAACCTCAAATAATGAACAACCAGTTTTTTCTGTTTCACTTTGACAAGAAATATTTTGATTTAATGTATGTTTATTTGTCACATTTGACAGTTGTAAACATTTTAACTTCATTATTAAGGATCTTCGTTGACAAAATAGAAAACTTTTAGACCACAGCAAAATTGTATTGATAATTAGTGAACAAAGATCCAATAATTCACAGAATCAAGTTCTCTAAAAGCAAGAGCCACATTTCTATAATTGAATAACATATTGAACTCAAAACAACTGTCAACCGATATCAAAGTCAGAATCTTCAATACGAACGTCAAGAAAGTCCTACTGTGCAGTGTTGAAACGTGGAGAACTACTACAAGCATCATCAAAAAGGTACAAGTATTTATAAAAAGTTGTCTACGCAAGAAACCCAACATCCGCTGACCACATACCATCAGCAACAGCCTACTGTGAGAGAGTACAAACCAGGTCCCATTGAAGGAGGAAATTAGGGAAAGATATTGGAAGTGGACAGGACATACACTACGGAAATCACTAAACTGTATCACGAGGCAAGCCCTAACTTCGAATCCTCAAGGAAAACGGAAAAGAGGAAGACCATAGTGCACACTACATTGGGAATTGGAAGCAGACGTGAAAAGAATGAATAGCAACCGAGAAGACCTGGAAAGGATTACCCAGGATAGAGTTGGACAGAGAGTGCTGATGAGCGGTCTTGTAGTAAGCCTATTCAACTACTGTATTATTTATCTGATCACTGTAATTTAGACACTTGATCCACAATGCAAATTTCTGTATGAGTATGATTGAGCACATTTCTGCACATCAATTTTTAATCTATTCTCCCATTGGTTAAAATACATAGAAAATCAATAATTTATCCATACTTGATTGACACTCATAAATACATATGGATTTTTAACACACACACTCTTGTTTTCCCTGTGTGCTTGCTTCCTGTACGCTTGTGAATTTTACCAATCTGTAACAAAAAGCTATCTCTGTAGCTGGTTCTCAGGCTTTTAAATAATCTCGAGTAAATCTATAATTCTACTAGGAGATTTAGCCTGCATTGAATACTCAGTTAACTGGATATTACTTAATGGAGTTAGATATAGGGGAAACTAGCCTCTACAGCCTATGTTCTTCCACAAAGGGTAACAGGCGTAAGTAAGTAAGTAATCAAGTCAATTATTTCGTTATTTGTCCTGAGGTAATTCTTTTGCTGCTCGAATTCTAATTACTGTTGTTTAACATCCTAATTAACTTGATAAACTCTATTATTATAACCAATGGGAGAACATAGAATAGATATCTGAGTAAACTAATGTGGTTGAAGAAGGATGCTGTTGTGACTTCAAGCTCGGCTTTTTATCACGTGATTTATTCCCCAATCTAAATACGACTTATTCACTCTTGTACTGAGCTAAACCAATAACGTTCGACCGGTATGAGCAGTCTAGCGTCCTTATTGGTCCTTTGCTCCCTAGCCCGTCCAGTTATTTCCAGAACACCATAGCTTCCGCTATGCAAATCATTTATTTCAAACATACTTGGTTTATATACCAGCCAAAAAGACGACATCACGCCATAAAGTAGGAAATAACATTTATACAAAATGTGGCTGTGAACGTGGGAGACTGTAATTAATAAACTGAACATAACTTAAGAACAGTAAATCGTATAATAATAATAATCTATAAGTCAAAATGAAGCTTATAATAAGAGGAACATAGGTACACATAGTCTAGTTACTGAATATTTATACAATAGGAGTATATATATATATATATATATATATATATATAATTATATATATATATATATATATATATATATATATATATATATATATATATATATATATAATTAGTTCATTAATAGTTCTCAGAAGTTACTCGTAATTTAATCTTCATTAGGATGTAAAAGATACTTCAGCAACCTCAAGTAGTACACTGAATATATAATTATTATTTGTTCTTTAATGCATCCAAATTACAAATATCTTCATTATAAACAAGTAATACTATAAGCTAGTCTATGAACATTCATGTATTTATATTCTAATATATGAAGTATAAATATATCTTATTATACTTGAAACAATGTAGTAGTTTGATACCTCTATAAATGAGACAAACAAATAAAAGTTTTAATAAATTATTTTTGCTCTCTTCATTTGATTATATTTAAAAGTAATGTATATTTATGCTTATGAAAGCAAATATATATTATGATAAAGTGTTTATTGGTAGTTTGTTTTGTTGTAATGTTTTTGATTGACAGAAAGAAATGGAATATTCATAAAGTTGAATAAATACATTAGTAAATAATACAAATCCTATTCTATAAACAAATTCTTTATTTGTCTTTTCAGTTACATTTTGTAGTTGGAATATAAAAATTACATTACAAAATAATCAGAGTAATACAATTCAACAACTAGGTTTAATAGATTATCCTAATAAAAAGAGTACTATAATTATTGAAGCTTCATGGGATGAAACTGATAAGAATCAAACCCAAGTTATGGTTCAGGCTGGAGAATCAAAAATATTTATATGCAGTATATGGACTTTAGAATCAGATGATAACCATGATTTCGACTCAGGGACTCATGAAACTGAACAATCTGTTTTCCTATTTTGTCCAATGAGTGTTGCATACTGTGCTCAGGATTGTTTATTGGTGGATTCTACATGGCTACTTCAGTGTACCAGACAATTTAGAATAGTCCCTAATCCTGAATTATTATGGACGTCACAGTTAAAGAATTCAAAGATTACAAAAGGTTGGCGTTTGCAAGAAGTTATTTATAAACTGGATATTGCTACAACTACTTCTGCCGGATTTTGGGGCTGCACGTATGGTGGTTATCGCTCTAATAGCTTGGAGCTAATTGTGAGAGGTAAAAAATTCAGCTAATAACCATCAGTTATTAGTATTTATTAAACATATTCACACTCATCTTGTTCACTGTATAATACATAAAAGAATATTTATGTTCAGTTATATAGCACTCAAAAATAAATGTTAGAGAAAGTAGATTCCCACTTGTTACCTGAATTATAGAGAGTTTATATCTAGAAATTTAACTGGGTTGTCATAACAATGACTCGTTTTTTTATCACTCATTTAAAGCCGGTTACTCATGCATCAGTTGAGGATCATCATTTGATCATTAAAATGATGAACTTGAATTCATCATTCTTCAGAGAAAAGTTTGTGACGCACCCACAAACTAGTTCTACCAGAAATAAAGTTTATTCTAGAACACACTCGTCGATGTCCACCTCTTTGTAACCAATCGTTTGGAATCATTAGTATTTTCGTGAAATTTATCGAATTTTCTTGGATTAGCCTCCTATCCATTAAATGTGACATCAAAAAGCGTGAAATATCAGTCAATGTAGATTTGATTGGTAATGATCAAATAAGAGCAGACCATCATTCTTCAGATAGACTGATAGTATAAATTATTTAAGATATTTTCTATCTTGATAAACTCTATTAATTATATGACAGAAAAAATCAAGTGTACATCTTTAAATTTGCATAAAAATGTAGGATCACTTCTAAGTTATTATGACAATAAACGTCCAGCATCAAATGTAAGAACATATTTAAATAGTGTTTCAGATCAATTGACCTAAACTCAGTTGTCTAAATAAGACAACAATATTCATAACATGACATAAAAATGAGTCTCAAAATACAGCTGATTAGAAGAAAAGTTCTGGCTGCTGACAAATTAGATGCTATATGTCTTCAAGATCTGTAAATAGTCAATAATAAAGAGGAAAAACTGAATTCTTTTCTTTCATCAAAGGAAAGTCCCGGTTGATTAGTCAGCACTTTGCTGTAGTAGAGCCAAATAAATTTATTAAACGACTGTTAATTGGACATCTGAAAATAGTTAATTGTACTTGGCGTCTGTTTGTAAAATATAAAATGCAGCTTTTACTTTCGATTAAATTCTTTAGGATGAATGACTTATTGTGTAATTATGGTTTTTTAGGCAGCTCACATTGAAGTTATACTAGCCTCTAGATAATTATGTCAGAACATTGATGGTGGCAATTATAATGTCGGTATTCTATGTAAATAATTTTAAAAATGATTCTGTGATTCATTATCCAATGATAAATAAATACATTCCATTATATTCATGATTATATTATAAACAGAAGGATGAAGAATCGAAAATCGCCATTTAATCATGTTTTTCACCATACATTTAAATGAAACAGCTGATTATATAGCTGATAACTAATTTTAGCAACTTTGTTTATCAGTTAACTTCAATAAGTCGATAAATTTAAACTTAAACGATTGAAAGTTTATTTCGTTTAAATTTTGGCGTCGTTTCGAATTAGAAAAAAATTAATTGTACATAGGTGATTTCATATTTTGGCGTCATAAGTGATCGGATATTTTCTTTGCTTCAAATGTAGTTAACCTCTGATTTATATAGCATAAACTAAAGAATATTTTTATGTATAACTGAGATATTTCATGCATTCACACTTTTCTTTTTCACCAAAATCATCTACCTGAGCTACAAATTCAAACTTTTTTTGCTTAAAAACCAACATCTAAAATCATATCTATTTAAATAAAATGATTTTTGCCTTTTAAAAAACTTCAGTAAATACAATGTACATTCATCCTTTACACGTCTTTTATGGATAAGATTTTCTAAATATTAGGTTATATAATCAGTTTAGACGTTAGAAGTGAACGAAATACTGTTCAGCAAACAAGTATCATCAGCTATATGAGTTGAATGAATTGAAATCTATGCATATGAAGGGTGAAAACATTCATAACAATGTTATACATTTTACAATTTTGATATTAATATGAACCAATGATTAAAAAGGATCTAGCACTACTCTGTTTCAGCAATGATTCATAATACAGTTGTATGTTTATGTGTGCCTTGGGAAATTTTGAACTGTTTGTTGAATATAATTTAGATATGAAGAAATACGTATGTATATTAAAACATTGTTTTCTATATCGACATATGAAACTACTGCTAATCAAATCACTCGAAAAATCTTAACAAGAAACTTTGCGACTAACAGTGTATATTGTTTGTTCGATAATTTGAACGGATCATTGGAATAGAACAAGAATCTTCGTCCTCAGTTGTTTAGAAAAATGGACATCAACATGATATTTCCTGGTTTGTCAAGTACAAAAACATGATAGTTCCAAAATATGATGTTCAGGTTTTAAAATAAATTCAGATGTTTATAATGATTATTTACCTAAATGTGTAATCATATCTATAGAAAGCCAAAGCCTATTTTCCTATACATTAAGATAGTTGTTAATCGTATCCTAATCATTCGGCAATCAAAACTTGTTATCTAACTATTTGACAGTAATTCTATACCTATATATATACATACTACTAGGATATTTTAAGCGTAGAGTATGACAAGTATTTTAATCATAGGGAGAAGTCCATTATTAATGTATATATCCAAACATGTGATGACAATATTTTCATGTACTGATAATCAAGCTAGAAACAAGTAGACTTTGACATTGACTTAAATATAAATGGATAAAATATGAGCAGAAACGAAGATATCAGCCTGAATGACCACAGATGCAAATGAATTCTAATAGTTAAATCAGATCACAGGATAGATAAATATAATACACTATTGAGAAACATTTGGTTGAGACCCCTCATTAGGTTAATATAAAGTTGGTCTTTGTAGTTGTATACAAAAGTTTTCAAGGGCCTGGAGATAAGAAAACTGAACCCTTTTGATGTGTTCCACAAATGATCCTGGTAAAGGTTTATTGCTTTATGTGAAACGATTTTCTGAAATTTGTTTGACTCATCGGTTGACATAATAATTCTAATGTATTCCAGTTGTTGATTCGTTCTTTTTATATTTATAGATAGACCAGCACTGCTATATTTGACTTCAAGTCCGGCTAACCCTGTCAAAATTGGAACTAATGTCAAACTAACATGTGAGGCTGCACCTAGTCCTAAAGCTCCATGGTACACGTTTGTCTGGCGTCGAATAGGAACTCAAATGCCACCTGCTCATTCAACGTTGCGTATATCTGATACAATCTCCGTATTGACGCTTTTATCTGTACAACCGTCTGACGATGGAGTATATAGCTGTCATATATTACAATCTCAATCGAATTCATTAAATGAAGAAATGTGGGAAGACAGTGAAAACGTGACTTCAGGATCAAGCAACTCATCTGAGAAACTGAGATTTAAAAAGGATCCAACAGTACGTCGGTTACACTTGGAAGTATTTCGTGAGTGATCACTTTTGTCTCAAGTGTTTTTAACTCAAAATCAAATGAATATGTTTATTTCGTTTGTACAGTTTTTTAAAGATGGTTATGTATGTTACGATACCCTGAAATGTCGACTTTGTCCACTTCATTTAAATTATATTGATACAGTATGCTGTTTTACAATTTCAATTTGGGCAATAAATTTATTCAAAGATAAAGGCAAAGCCTACTGGCCTTGACCTTTTAATTGTTCATCAAAATATCTGAACAGTTTATTAGTTCATCAGATAGTTCTAAGTGTATAGCTTTAATATATCCACATGTTTTTCATAAATATAATCTTATTAAGTGTTCTAAGTCACTCAAAATAATCTATTGTATATTTTCTCAAAGAAAACTGCTCGTTTCATAAACTTTCCAAAATAAATCGATTCCAAAAGTTGTTGTTAATGTAGGTTTGATTGCAGAGTTTTGATAACGTCTGTGTAAAACATTATAGTATGTGATAGCAATTTATCTTGTAAATTATCAGCAACTTAGACATCCATTAATATACGAAAATCGGATCTCAGATGTGTGAGAAGATTTGAGGTCCATAAGAATTATTTTGGTAGAGTTGTATTCTCTAACTTGGGTAGTTTTATCTAGAAAAACGGACTTCCAATCATTTGTTTTGAGCGACTGATAACCTAAAGCTTATCATTTATTTGAAGTCAGAAATATTCATACCTTTAGTTTAAAATACAAATGAAGTCAAGCAAGCATTATTTCATGTTGGTGATGTGTGGTGACTTTTTTATATTGAAGATAGCTTTCAATAGTAAATGGAATCAGACACCATAACAGATGCCTTACTCTAAATTGTAGCTCTTCACCAATTAGCACCAGTAGCTCAATACAAGAGATTATTTAGTATATTTAACAGTCTTACAATCAACACGATATCACTTATCCATTAAATGTTTTCTAAGCTAGGTCATTTTGCTAAATGGTGAACATCGCTTAAAGATCAATGGGCAATGGATTTTGGTGATTCTTCATATCATTCTATCCCGAGGTAAAATTTATTTTGCAAGCCTAATAACTTTATCCTTTATAAACCTAGGTACCTAGATAAAATGAAATACTAATTTGTTACTTTGGTTTGAGATTATAGTAAATAATAATATGACTATATTTCAGTTAGGAGTTATGGAGATAGATGAATTTCATCAAAATCAAGAGCCGACGAATGTTAGACCACTATTGAAAACATAAAAACACTGGACGACAGTGTCGTCCTGGTATGGGACTCATCAACAGTGAATATCATCGGCTCCCCACACGAAGTTCGGACCCAGGAACTCTAGCCTAACGTATATGTATTGATCATATGCATTAATTACTTCAGAAAGTGATTAGAAGCTACCAAATTAAACAAACTCATCATGTTTTAAAAAACGAAGCATGTGAGTGAATGCTGACTTTTTAAAGAATTTACTCGTACGAAGTGGCTACTTTTTAGACTTAAGTTCTAGGACTCTTGATGAAGGTCAAATATAATACACCTTCGTAACGTGCCTCTTAGGATTAATAATATTAGTGAATCCCTTGGTAAAGACCACAATGCAGATATTCTGTAAATAAATATAAACCTTTCATTGGCGTTATTGGCAGGAATCATTATACTTTATATTTGCGCGTTCTGATTCTCTAAATCTTATGGTTAAAATGTTTCGTTTTGATTTTGCTTTTTAACTCAGATCCCCCTACTTCCTTAAATGTAACAGTTCAACCTCATGGGCCTTATAGAGCACAAACAAATGTCACATTCACTTGTCATATACATGGTGGTAAACCAAAGCCATTGATTTACTTTTATCGCATAAATGTTCCGCTTGATAATGAAAATATTTCACTGATTCGTTCAAATTCTTTCACTTCGAAACATATCCTAGAAAATATAACTCAGACAACAGAATCTACAGAATTAAAGTGGCAATTAACAGAAGCTGATAATACTGCCAGTTTTGGATGTGCTGCAACAAGCCCAATCATTAAAGATCAAATGTTCTCGCTATTTATTAAAGTTAAAATTATTTGTGAGTACTATATATATATATATATATATATATATATACGTTTTTATGTTCAAGATGTAAAAAGATTCTAAATTTCTATAATGAGTTTTCTTTTCAAAAGGCTCACTTGAGTATAAGATATATTTTATCTGTTGCAGAAGTAATAAAAATTAACTAGTTAAAATGTATTGCCAAAAAATGAAGGCGATCACTGGGATTACAAATATAGAAACTCCATCATTATGTACTTATTTAGTCCTGCTCTCATGATGATACCATGTTGGTTAGAGATGTGATATGAAATCATAAAATTTATTTGCCTCATTATTTTTATCTGAATAGATTAACATTTGTTCGAACGAATTCACTAGAACACGAACTCAATACTGATCACTCAAAACGTTAAAAATATTTATTCACAAGACAGTAGTTATATAAGTAGATATGAATGGTGGCTTGAAGTGGAATACAGGACACTTGTTTCGTCCTATTTAGGACTGGTCAACTGGATGTATCTACATCTCAGAATTGATGTTCACTCTGGAAATTAAATCTAGTACCATCTATTTAAAATGTCATCGCTTTATACACTTAGTTACTGAGTCAAAAGAGCTCCTAGCTTGTGCAATGGGTTGAAGTTTAATTCATTTTTGTATTGATTGTCTGAATCTTTCTAATGATGTTTAGGACTGTAATGGATCAGTCTCTCCTGTGCGGATTACCTCAATGTTGCCTTAAATCACAAGCATTATAAACAGAAATAGATAGTGTATATAGGTCAAAAAGAGATTGATCAACTGCAGACTTAAACGTCAATGAGAAGTTTCAAACAACCAATACAAAATTGAACTGCAGATAATTGTTGATATATTTATTTATGGAAGAAAGATGATATAACAATGTTGGCATACAATATACTCAATTTCATGGATTAGTTGAAGTTAGAGATTAACACTGTAGGATGCCGGCTCAGTGGTCTAGTGGTTAAGTGCTCGCGCGCGAAACCAGTTGGTCCTTGGTTCGAATCTCGCAGAGGGTGAGGTCGTGGATGTGCACTGCCAAGGAGTCCCATAACAGGACAAAACGGCCGTCCAGTGCTTCCAGGTTTTCCATAGTGGTCTAGCTTCAACTGACTCATGATCTTAACCATTGAAATTACCATAATATCTACAAAAACCCATCTGATATTAACAATTTGTCAAATTCCCATTATTAGACTTTTATTTAAAAAACAGAAATGGCAGACAAATCAATAATTTTAAAACACAATTTCATTTCAGGGAAGTTCAGTTCGTTTTTTTTGTGAGAACTTAAAAATACATTGGTGAATAAGTGATAATCCATGATCATTAGTAAGATTCTATTTCTAAGTATACATATAAATTGTAATCAACGAAATTGTATTAGTTAAAACATTCTCTGATAACCTGTTTTCTTTATGGTTCATAATTAAATGGACAAATACACGATCAGGTTTACTTGATTATATTATCAATGTATGTGTTTCAGATAAATGTTTTCATCGAACAACTAAGTTTCCTATGTCTGTGTGGACAATATTTTCAACTAATTGAAAACAAAGTTTATTCTTTCTTTTATCTAATTTTAATGAAGTGGTGTGTAATAAATTAGTTAGAAATATTATTCATCTAAAATCACTTAAGCGAACTATGGAAAAATAGATTTTGAACTTGCATAATTCCTGTGAGTTCACAAAATTGATTCTGTCTTATTGTGATTATAGTTTCACCTCAAGATCCTATCCTGTCTTCCGTACCACATGGTCCAGTAAGTGAAAATCGTACTAAAGTATTTACATGTCAGTCTTCAAAAGGAAGCAATCCAAGAGCGAAAATTTTATGGGAATTGACACCTGCAATGGAGTATTTGTCTACAGTATCAAAAAGAGGTTCTAAATCAAATGAAAAAGAAACAGTCATGAAACCAACGACAAATTCTGACTTTGAATATATAATGTCGGACATCTATTCGGATACCAAACACGATCCTAACAATGGGGGTTATATAGCATACAGTGAAGTACGTTTAACTGGACGACCATGGTTCAACGGTGCACGGGTATCTTGCCACTTAATTTGGAATGAGGAAGGAAACTACAGTGTGAAACAAGTTTCGGACGCTACCAATCATATGATTACATATCAAAAAACAGCTTACCTTCTTACTGAAGTATTTTGTGAGTTGATATTACTGACTCAAAATATCTCAAATTTTTTTGTTATTTCAGTGATTATTAGTAATGCTCTGATACCATAAATTAACAACCTCTTAAAACCTGAATCATAATAGATATATAGTGCCATAAAATGCTAAATACAATGCATTAGCGATTAATGTTTGATGCTAGGTTTGTCTATAAATAATCAGAAGGCATGAAATCAAAGAAATAATTATCATCTAAGTAAACATGTGACATCCTCTCTATCATTTCGTCGATTTAAGGAAATGTCATTTGTTTGTTAAACCTAAACTTATTTTTTAACTTTACCCCTGTTTGATATTAGAACGTACGAACCTGCATAAATGATGTGCTTAAACAGTAAATTTTGTGTTAATTCACTGAGTTATCGGTAGACTGAATCGAAAAAGCGAAATGTTTCACTTTAGCCAAGATGGCTTTTTTTTCGAAAATCATTAAGCTATATGAAATGTCATGAAGAAATATGCAATTTTCGCACACCATATACACCTCATTTTCCTGGCATAAAATTATTGTGATATGATCCTTGTATAATTATCAACGTCCTTAATATAAGATTTTAGGACAATACTAGTTGTATAATCCACAATAAATAGAAAATAGTTAGTTATAAAACTTAGTTCGTTTAGTAACTGAGTCTTATTCCAAATCAATTTAATCGAATTTCCAGTATTCATATTGTCAAACAGATTAGATAAAGTAAAATTGTAGGACCTAAATTGTGCTGGTATTTCATATTAAGTAGTTGAATTAACTTCAAGGAATTTCTGTATCTTAGGAGACTTAAACCTGTTCACTCCTTAAAATGACCAACTTTGTTAGAATAGAGTATTTTTATTAGTTATGATGATATATTAGAAGCAAAACACCTATTGTAACATCAAGAATCAAACTGATGAACGTTGTTTAATCATGTGACACACTTAAACTCATGTTTTAATTTATGTAGTATTCATTGATGTATACGTATTTACCAAATCTAAAATTAATTTAAGCGTATGAAAGGTAACATATCACATACTGTAGGTAATGAGAAACAACTGGAAGAAACTGAACTTATACAATACTGCTTTGGTTTATCCAGTTAATTAATTTACATATCTTCATACCACCAAGCATCAGGAATGCAATTGAAAGTAAATCTTTTACTTATAAAAAAACTGTATCCACATCGTAATTCTTCTCAAAGTAGGTGAATTAAGCTATGCACGATCCCATTTGATTAACAATGTCGTACTGCATAGGGACTGCGTGACATATAGTTTATAAGAGTTATAAAAGATTGTTTAAAGTTCTTGTCTAATGAATAATTTATTCATAAACGATACCATGAATATATTACCAAAGTAAACAAATGAAATACTTTGGAAATTTCATCCATCAAATCTATCAACCGTATAGTATGTTTCGAATACATTGCTTGTGGATATAAGAAGATATTTTTACATTTGATAAATGTTTGGGCAAATAAATAAGAAATATTTAAACAATCATACCTATGATAGAAAAAAAACTGTTTCCACGGAAAATTGGGAATGGTTGTGTTTCAATGAATCTTATGTCCACCAAAATCTTATAATAAAATTTATTTATTCAGAACAAATTAATATTATTGCTCAAGATTATGAAAAATAATTTAAATGTTTTATTTCCGGTATAGTTTGTCCATCAGCAATTAATTTGATTGCAATTCCCCAAAATGGAATTCAAGAAACATCCGGTGAGCAAATACTTGAATGTACAGCCACATCATCTCATCCTCCTGCAATGATCACTTGGTTCAAGCATAATTCTTCAGATAGTGTACAAAAGACCACTACAGAAAGTGTAATGATGGAAAATTCTTTGATAAAAATTGATACAAATTATCAACCAAATTTAAAAATTACAACTGAAACAGTAAGTGCATTTTATGTATTGTAAAATTAGTGATAAAGTAATAAATATCCATAAATCACCTAAGCCATTTATAGAAAGTAAAGGTTTCGTGAACCCCTAGACATTTAAAAAATGAACAAAATAAAAAAAACCTTTATGAAAATAGATCTAAATGAATGAATTTTGTTTAACCAAATAACGAAATATGTTTGATGAAATAACATAACAGTTATTTCTTACTTTACTATTAAATCGTATAACGGTTCAATATCTTAGATTTAAGAAATGATTCCATCATCCCTGTTCTACCTTTGAACAACATAATATCTAGTAATCGTATTGTATCTAATCACTTTCTCACTTACTTACGCCTGTTACTCCTAATAGAGCATAGGCCGCCGACAAGCATTCTCCAACCCACTCTGTCCTGGGCCTTCTTTTCTACTTCCATCCAATTCTTGTCCATTTTGCTCATGTCTATCTCCATTTCTCGCTGTAATGTGTTCTTTGGTCTTCCTCTCCTCCCTTGACCTTCAGGATTCCATGTGAGCGATGGCCTTGTGATGCAGTTGGGTGCTTTCCTCAATGTGTGTCCTATCTACTTCCACCGCTTCTTCATGATTTCTTCCTCCGCTGGGATCTGGTTTGTTCTCTCCCATAGTAGATTGTTGCTAATAGTGTCTGGCCAACGGATCGGAAGTATTTTGTGTAGACAACTGTTAATAAACACTTGTATTTTCTGGATGATGGCTTTCCTAGTTCTCCACGTTTCTACCCCATACAGTAGAACTGTTTTGACGTCTATATTGAAAATTCTGACCTTGGTGTTGGTTGACAATTGTTTTGAGTCCCAGATGTTCTTTAGTTGTAAATATACTGCTCCGCCTGGAGTTTTTCCGGGGGCTACTGCCGGTTCCAAGCGCGGATGAAGGAGGAGGGTTTGGTATTGGGTTAGTGACCCCATCCAGTAGAAAACAAACTCGCTACAAGAACGCTAACCAGTATCTAATCACTTATTTAAAATATATAACTATTTGTATAACTTACAAATTCACTAAAATACCTCAGTGGATTACATCGTTTTTTTTAAAAAATTAATTATCAGAATACCCTGTAGTCAAGCAAAGCATTCCCTGTATTTCTTTCCTAACATCCTATCTTCATCTTACTTTATGATCTTGCAGATTCTATTTAATACATTTTTAAAAAAATTCATCTTTTTAGTTCTTACAATTATGGCTTTAAGGGATTTAGTACTATAGATTAATATATTTTACTAAATTAAGCTGCAATAAGGAGTAAACCATGTATATTAGACGTTACATTTTGATATTGTATCAGATAAATACCCTTAAAATGAATATCATTTAATACATTTCATTGTTTTAATAGTAAAAAAAAAGTATTTGACATTAGTTAAACTAGAAAAAAAATCTGTAAATTAACTTGAAACATTTTCTGTTTAACAATTTCTAAGGCTTTCTATCCTTTGACATTTTAGAAAAACAAACCTCATTAATTTGTTATTGTCAATAATTAAGATAAAACCTTTAAAGTTTATTATTAGTCACCAACAAATTCATTAATTTAAATATTGTAAAAAAAGTAGAATTGTTTCTTAGCTAAGAGAATAAATAAAAGATATTACCTTGACGGATTTTTCATTGTTTTGGACAATGTGATTTCTTAATGTGTCAATGATATTACAAAATATATTCCGCTTCATTTAACTCTAGTGTTCATTTTAAAAGTAGGAATTTAAAATAGTGAAATAATCGTATTTTAATATGCATCAAATTAATCAAGTTTTGATAATTCCATTAAATGATGGCTCAGTGGTTTAGAGGTTAAGTGCTTGGGCGCGAGACCATTAGGTCCTAGATTTGAATCTCGCGAGACGAGATCGTGGATGCGCCCTACTGAGAAGCCCTACAGTAGGACGAAACGGCAGTCCAGTGCTTCCAGATTTTTCGTGATGGTCTAGCTTCAATTGACTCGTGAGTTCAACTGTAAAATTTTATAATTGGTGGAAGAATATCTAGGAAAAAAGGTATCTAAGATACATAAATTGCTAGAATACATGAATTACCAGTGGATTTCTTGTAATAAAATGAAGGTTGAAACGTGATTGCCATAGTAGCTTATAATTAAAATCAATAATGGAAAAAAACATGATAACTTCATATTTTAACTTTAAACTCTTCAGTTCATTATGTTATCTTTAATAAATTAGAGTATTTATTTAAGATTTCATCAACTTCAACAAACGATATTGAATCACTTTTATGAATCTGAATATGTATATAATAGTTAAAAATTTACCAATGCACAGTAACAATTATATTGAATAATAAACCAACTGATTTCTACACTCTTATTAATTTAGATATTAACCAGGTTAAAATTAGTAGATAGCTTTAAGTGATATCTTTTATCGTTTAAATCAATAATATATCTTCTTTAGAACACTTTATTATGTTTAGTAATAACTAGGCAACTGATGAAACATATGGTTATGGTTTTTCAAAATATATTTATTTACATGTTACAAGTTGAAATAATAAACTATTCCCTGTGGTGATTGATCACTTAGTATATTTTGTTTTAATAATGTACGTGTAAACACAACGTAATTCATACAAAGAAAATGAAAAATTTAAAAAAATGTTTAAACGTCAATCCACTTCTCTTCACCTCCTTCTTCTTCCTTTTCATGTAGTATTAACTTAAACAAAGTGATTTACAATAAAATTTGAAGGTTAGTAGATGAATAGACAAAGTTATCTCGTTTTCTTTAGCAGACTATATATATATATATATATATATATATATATATATATATGCATATCAACATAATACAATGAAAATAGTAAACATTTGTAAAACTAATAATAATGACAAAAGAACAGTAAAATTTAGCTACGATATTTTTTATATAGTGATTATTAGTGTTTGTCTTCAATGAATAGTGTTTATTGTTTATACAAGTGAGTAATCTACATAAATTAAATAACTATACAACCAACGCGCGTCTTGGATTCCACTACTAGCCACTATACAGATTTGCTTAAAAAGCTTGTGACTTAAGGCTATATCGAGGCAATCCGTACAGGATGCACATATGCTAACATGAGACTAATCAATTGCAGTCCTATATAACAATAGGAAGATACAAGTAAAACAACACCAATTGAATTTGTCGTAACCTTGAATTAATCCCCCCTTTGTTACCTTTTTTGCTTGAAATTTCATTTAATTAATCTTTATGAATTTTCATATAAAATGCCCTGACAAATATGTGTGACCGGGTTTTTCGAAATGTATAGAGCAAATACATCATTTTTCAGATCTACTCTGTCTTCTAATTGTTCAATTGAAATTTATAAAAGGGACTAGTTACTTTAAAATCTTTTTATCGAATTATTGACTTTAACTATTAACATACATGTGTAGATATCAATAAAAAAACGCGGTAAATGAGACTGAGTATTAAAAAAAATAAGAATCTGAGGGCTAATTAGAAATATGCTTTTAAAATAAAAATAAAAACCCTGATGAAGAAGATAACTGCATTTTGTTAGTCAGCTGAAGCTTTGTCTTATAAATATAGACAGAAATAACAGATTTCTTTTAGACTGCGAAAGAAGTTTTTGCACCAACTCAAACCAATGAAATCAATTAACTAAAATTTCTCGAAGATAGGATTTTAATGGTTTAGTTATTTGTTTCCATCATAATAAACAGCTGATAGACAAATATCAGAAGTTTAAGGTCGGTCAACTGCAATCGGTTTATTCTGTAGTGTATGCATATGAAATTTTGAGATGGGACACAGGACTCATAAGTTGCATAAATGATCATCCACAGTTGTATTAGATACTTAGAAAAAGTCATAAATATAGTAAGAGGTGGTTTGTAACGAATTACTAAACATTACCTTCATCAAACAAGCGTTTCATTAGATGACATTCACACACTTTGAATGTAGTTTAAAATCCAGTTAACCTATTTAAAGACATTACAGATTATCTTATTTGTTTTGCCTCTTGACCCTTGGTAGTCGTTAGTTTTCCATGGTTTACTAAGTGTTATTTTATGCATTGATAACAGTTTCTTCACAAACTATATTGTTAACTGACTAATGTGTCTGTTTTTAAACAAATTTCCTATTTATCGCAAAACTGTTTTGACTAAGACAGTACGGAAGTAAAATAAGCACATCCAAAAATTTCGTTTTTATCAATTGCTTGAATGCTTAGCGCGCAAGACAATTTATATCGACTACTTAAGGTAACATATACCAATCAGATAGTAAACATGAACCAAATTTTATGAATGAAATCAAGTCTATAGAATGATACAATTTTTATTCATTAATAAAGCTCCACAAATATTGACCAATCATGTTTTCGTCACTGATGAACTGGTTGTACTGTTCAGACCAACAATATTATCAATATGTCAGGGCACAAACTGTTATATTCCTAATTATGGTCAAGTAGTACTCTAGTAGCTTTAAGATATTCAATAATATAAACTGTTTCATCACCACTTGTTTGTCCCTGTTTTACACCTTAAAATAATCTATTAAACCATTTGGTTAGCATTTATTACCTTGCTCATCAATCTAGGAATTTGATGCTTTTTTGTTATGGATATAACACTTTTTCGCCAAATTAGTTTAAACAAAAACTATGGATTAAATAGATTATCAAAACAAGTATTTTAAAACTTCATTATACAATTAAGTGTTGCTTAAAATAACTAAGAAGATACTTCATCCTAGTTCAACCGTTTATTTTCTTGGTTTTCAACATTCAAATGATACTATATAGTACGTGGTTAAAATATCTGTCAACTGTAACCCGTTTTGGAGTGTAAAACTGATTCATTTGAGGTTAACTGTCTGAGTAGCTAGTTAATTTGATTTATGAGAAATGAAATAAATAGATTATTTAAACATAATTTCAATGATTCACTGAAACTTTATAATAAGAAAAAAAGATCTGTGGATTTTTAAATCCATCATATAAGGCAAATAATCTGAGGGTATTTTTTTAGAGTCTACATGGATGTAAAATAAATTTTTTTTAACTAATTTAATTTCATTTATACATTTTCGAAACATTCTTTTATTTACAGTTCCCTGGAATCTATGGTGGAAAACGTGTGGTTAGCAGACTGAAATTAAGTAACATTTCCAGAATCTCCGATGGTATGCTATTCACCTGTTTAGTAAAACATATCGAGTGGACAGAATCAATTAGTCGTACACATCAATTAATGGTATTATGTAAGATCAAATATTTCAGTTTGTCTAGTCTTAAACTTTTGTATATATTACATTTTCTAACTTAAATTATACTCTAAGGGGTTTTTGTAGATATTATAGTAATTTTAGTGGTTGAGATCATGAATCACGGATGTGCGCCACTAAGGATTCCCACAATAGGACGAAACGGCCATTCAGGACTCCTAGGTTTTCCATGGTTGTCTAGCTTCAACTGACTCATGATCTCAACTATTAAAATTAAAGTATATTATTGACCTTTTACGAAAGAACTGATAAAAGAATAATCTATTGAATTATTTTTCTGTTTAGGTTTTTATTTCATGTACACAAATTTTAATAATCATATGGAAGAACAATGTTGATTTTGATAAACAATAAAATAAAATGTAGACACTCTTAATTTATGAATGCTTCAGCAGAATTCTTTAAGAATGTTGAAGTTAATAAGTGTCTTTCAAAATATAACTTCAGTTATATTATCGGTATGCATAACTAAAGAAATATATGTATTAGAATAGATAAACTACGTTGATCTGCCACTCAATGTTAAAAATAGGCTCTGATTAAGAATTTACCAATTATTGTAAAAAACAATTTTAGTAAACTGACAGGCATCTTATCAATAAAAAAAATAGTGATAAGTTACAGTAATACGCCAACAGCTAAAAATATGGAAAATTCATAATGAAGTATTTAGGTAAACAAAGACTATATGAATAAATAGTATATTTGTAATATCCCAATGAGTAGAAAAATTAGATTTTCTGGCGTTTCGTGGCTTAGTGTAAGTCACTTCTTCAGAGAATATATAACCAAATTAAAATTAATCCAAGTTTATATATGAAGTATAAAGAGGACTTACTAAAAATGGAAGAACAAAACTAACTATCAGGGAACGTAACCGTTGTGATTGTGGGCATCTTTATTACGAATTTGGAAACGAATAATAGAGTTCGTCTGTCGTATAAATTACATAAGAATAACATGAGTCACTATGGAAATGTGTCAGCAGTTTAAAAAAAATTAACATTTTCTATTAAAAATAATTTCGTTCGTTGTGAACTCGTCATTTAGTTGGATTTCAATTCATTTGAATCCTAGGAATAAGTTACATATTTTATGTTGTTAAGATTAATAAATTCGTTGTCTCTGTCCTGATGATCAAAGTTTATATCAATGACTTTTACCGAAATCGGTTTGATTTATACTTTAACTTTTGCACCTACTAAATTCATCATTGCATGTAATTCAGCTAGAAATCACTATATTCACCCGACACTATCTTTGAATGCTGTTTATATTAGCCAGAAAGAAGTTTGTGATTTTCAGGTATTGTAATTAACATTGCAGTCTAATGATTTGTGTGGGTTATTTTACATCAATCTATCCGACATGACTGGCACTCATTCTCACCCCAATTTTGAACTACTCCTCTCTTTATCTCAAGATATATATATAAGCGTAAAACTATTTGGTGGTGAAATCCCAAAAAATTAAGGGGGCGAGGAGTAATTGTGTGATATCTAAAACCTAACGAGATAGAATACACAACAATTCGAATGCTTGAAAAGCTTGTATAAATTTTCGGGGTTAGAGGAGTGAAAAACACAGATGAATGGAAAAGTAATTTCTAGGGCGGATGAATTACCAATTGGCTTAGCAAATATAGCATAACAAAATCAACTCAGTAAAACAATAGTAATAATGAAATTTACTATAGGTGACTTTCATCAGAGATGTGAATCAATCAAGGCACTGATGAATTAATAACTCTCTGGGATATTTTTAATTCCTACTGCTTTAATTAAACGATGAGAAGCTTATTTATTTTGTCTGTTGATAGTTTTGACAAACTGGCACTAATAATTTGCCCGCTGTCGTTTAAGTGTTAAGCTATTTCACCTTTCAGTTTTAAATTCGTTGTAACTTGCTGGGAAATGAACTTACAAGTATTACATGTTACAATATACCCTAATGTTACAATTGAGTAAACATACGGTTGAGGGCAGACGAAGAGACACGACAAAATATAACGATTCATATTATTCTGCCTAAATCATTTTTTTGGCTTTACTCTTACCATGTGACAAAATATCCACGGTTTGATTTATAGTGCTAAAGTAAGATCCTGTGCATAATTTTTCAGAACCTTCTGCGTTATTGACTGTGTTCTGTGTTATGATTTCTCTATATAAGTCAATCGCTTTAAGTCCGGAGACTGAGGTTTAATAAAAATCGTTCTAATCAAATCATTATTTTCATTTAGAAGAGGAAAAACGGTTGGTGAAATAGATTCATATTATACATAATAAACTAGATATCTCAAGAAATCTCTTTGTTGCGTTTCACTGACCAAAATTTTCTGTCACTTGACGACAAACAAACGTGGATTGTAATAATAAAAAATAACAAGCCTGCTTAAAAACAGATTATTTTATCGTGATTAAACAAGCCAAAAGCCAAGTGTTCAAATAGATTTCATTATCAATATGTAGGAAATCTTAAAATTAGTTATTGTACAAATTTATTTATTTACTCCACGCATTACATTAACTAATGAAAATCCCTGAAGGTAGCCTCTATTTCCCTCAAGAACAAGTTTTTACATTGAAAAAGGTTAATGAAAGAGAAATATTTAAATAGTTGTAAAGATCTAATCTATTATGTAATCAAGATGGTTTCATCTACAACAAGTTATACTAAATTATAAGTGGTAAAAAATAGACAGTATTAGAAAATTTATCAGTTAGTGATAAAACTACTGTTTAATCATTTTATTAATGTTGGGGAAACCCAGGATATTCCTCAAAAAAGCCTAAAGGGTTTTTGAAAACGCTGGAAAACATTTTATCTAATCAACATGAATAAAAGATCTCCAGAAACATCAAGAAAGTGAAGCGTCACGTGTAACATTTATGATTGTATGATTATCTATCCTGCTATTATGTTTAGTAGAGTTCCAGAACATCGCAGAAGCTCGATGCCATCTGAAATGCCATAAATACTCTCAATTTTCTGTACATGAAGGAACCTTGGAGTAAAGCGTTCTTTGCATATTTCGCGCCTTTTCTATCGTGTTCATGTTGTCGTGTAGATTTAACCTGGGGTCATTAGAAAAGTTTAGGAAGGCGATTCAAGCGTTCAGTCAGGAGCTTTATCAATTAAGTAAATAAATCTCTATGACATAATATTTTCAAGTGTTCAATTTAAACAAAAATTTTAAATTCTTTATAAATTTATCTCAACAAAATTTAAATGAAAGGAAATATAGGTGAAGAAATACTCTTCTATATAAAAGTTAAGTTCTATATAAAAGTAACACTAAGTGTCATACGTCTCACTCCAATCTATGCTATAATGTAAGAAAATTAGTTTCTAGATAAAACAATTGTTCAACTTAAATGTAATTGAAATTAGCATGCACTAAAATAACCGATAACTCCAGTTCAACAAGACCAGATATATCTTATAAAACGTATTGGATATATAATACCAAAATTAATACATTCAGTCTATATGGAATGTTAATTATTCAAAAATAGGTCGTCGATAATGTTTTGTTTTAGCGCTTCTTCTTCAATGTTTCTATATAGACTAGTGCACTGGAATTTGCGTAACCATTTACGCTTAATAAGATTTTTAAAAGCGTAATAATTCATCTTTTTCAAGTGTTATTCTTTTCCTGATTGTAGATCCACCAACGCTAAAATTAAAAATTATTCCACAAGCAATGGAAGATCGTCTAAAGTCTAATAGTATTACTCTAATCTGTAATGCTGAAGGTGGTCAACCGAAATATTTTGAGAGCGAAACTGACTTTCTAGATGGTATCCATTATGAAAATAAATTTTCAAAAAGTCAAGGAACTTCACTTAGTAAAGATAAACATAATATGTGGACATTCTACTGGAAATTTCGTCCTCAATACCCTGAAAACTGGATGCAGTTGACTAATCAAGAAATACTTTTCAACGAGTTAAATATGTACCGATCGAATAAACTAATTTTAAATTATCCAGGGAGGAAACAAGCTGGTGACTATACATGTTTACTTGAAGGTCCAACAAGTACAGCACAAGTGACTAGCCATTTAGAATTCACATGTAAGTATGACTGATGTTAGTATGATATTATGTTAGTATTTCTAAAATATGGTCTTTTCAAGCAATCTCTAATGAGGATATTTAGAAATTAAGTAACGTCAACTCAACTGAACTTTACTTCGTAGGACGTGCATAAAAGACAATAATTATTTGCTCATATCATATTACATATTGTTGTCTCAGTAATGAAATTAATGAAATTTTGTCAGGTGTGAAGTCTAGCTTATATGTTTGCACCTTCGGATCACTGAGGATAGTAAGAAATATTAATTACAGCATGAGTTACTGAATATAGCATACATTTTAAGTGAATCAATACTATTAGGGATTCTAAAAAGTTAAGAAATAAGTATAAATTGAACAAAGTATGTGATTTTTTGGTGCCAGTGAAGAACAAAGTGTTTTAAATAGCTATAACACACTTGATTACATTATTCCGGTTTTCTCCATCAAAACTGTCTGTAAACATAATTTTGAGAATAAAATAGTGAAAATGGAGATTTTTAAAGTTGACTAAGTTAAATACATATTTAGTTAAAGTAAGAATAGACCAAGAACAAATATTCCAGCAGAATAACATGGATTCATTTTATTTCGTTTGGTTATCATCAGCTGCGTACAACCTATGGTATGTAGAAAACAAGTACAAAATGGGTTTAAAATACTTACATGAAAGAGTTCATTTGGAAGTTATGTTGAAGACACATTGGCATAGTATAGCGAGTGACAATAAATTTAGGACTGATTATTGTAAATATATACATTATGTAAAATAACATTAAAAAACACTGGTTGTTACAAGAGTTCAAAGGGCCAGAAACCAGTGATTACATAATGAGTAGACGCTGATAGGAATAAAATGAGTAAAGATCAGTCAACAAAATGTGAATAATAATCTGGAAGACAGTCGAAATTATAAAAACTCAGTGATGTAATAAATGAAAGAGATCAAAAGTGTTTTAAGATGCAACGAAAGAATATTTATCATTAAGGCAAGGAAAAATTAACAACCATTTCCTTTTGAACACATAAACCAGATTTTTGACGCCCGGTAGCAACAGCTCTAGCAAACTTCAGAAGACTGGAGTTTGGCTGTTTATTGATCATCTTGAAAGATTGCAAGGTATCGACTTGATGTCCCGTATACTCGAGATGTTTGATAATCGTACTATTTAAAGTCATTCTTTCTCTTGTTCTTTTTTAAAATGTGCTCAAGTTATAAATATCTTTGGTATACATGATCTGAAATTCAAATGTATTTTTCGGCACTTATCCAATAAATTAAGGCTAATTCATTAAACCTGATACTTAACATTAAAAAAATAATTTACTACTGAAAAGTTTACGTAGAATGTTTTATGTATAAGTAAATTTAAATTCACTAATCTAGCCACAGTATCACGACATTAAATCATATTTGTACAATACACAACATATCATATATTGTATGATAGTTTTCTCCGAGAAGCAGATATTAAGAGTAATCTTCTGGTTGTAAAGTTCATTTTTTAAATGTGAGCTTTTGTAAAAACTCTACTATTTTACCCTTCAAGGAATAAGAAAAGTTAAAATTAGGTATTTTGACACAATGCTACTCAGTGCTATTCATTGTCAAATTAATTTTGTTCTTATTCATACTTTTGATTTCAGTCGCACCCGAGTTAGCACCACCAGGAATTACATCAGTAACGTCCGCAGTTGGTTCACATACCGTAATTGAACTTCATATATGGTCATATCCTGTACCTTCATCTATACACAATCCAAGAGATACTAAAATAAAACATATTGTGACTGAAAACTGTAATCTTCATGAAATTAATTCACAAATACCATATGAAATCAAAACACAAAAGAAAACGTATACTTGGTACAAGGTTACTACTGAGAGATCAGCATCAGGTGTAAAAATACTCCAAAAAGAATTAGTACTCGAAAACTGGGAACCACATATACGGTTGAAACAATTTTCTTCTGGTATTAATAAAAGGCAACTAATTTGGACTGATGCAATACTTATTGACTTTCCATACTATGACACGGATATACAAATTAGACAAAATGATAGTGGAAGTAGAAGTACATTGCGAAAAATACCGACAATTGTTTATCGACTGTTTCTAAGCCCAATTACAGAAAAGGATTACGGGGAATATATGTGTGAATTAGAACACGTGGAAGGAAGAAAACAGTTTTTCATGCAAGTACAACCACCTGGTTCGTGAATATATTTAATCCTGTTGAGTATTTATCTAAATGTTTTAAATGAATCAGCATTTTATCTGCTACTATTTAAGAAAACCAACGTTCAGTGATTTGCTTCGGTTCATTTACTGTTCAAGCCCTTAAAAACATCAAAGAATATAAATGACCTCTAATTTAGTGTATTATATTTTATGTATCACCTCTAATGGTATTGTGTCACATACAAACGAATAAATATTGCGTATTATTAAAATACGTATTAAGATCAAATCAATACGACACTCTATATTATTGCATGAAGTTGCATAAAACAAACAAAGGGTGAATTATTCAGTAAAAATTCAAGTACATTACTTAACATTTGTGTTTTGCAAGTGTGTATTATTTTCATTTTCAAGTAAATTGAACTTGAAAATTCTCTGACAAAGATTTCCATAGTTGTAATCGTGAGATTATCAGATCTAGACCACCAATGAGAACATGTAAGCACTGAGTAGGCGCTTCATCCCCGTATAAGACTCTTCAGTGGTGTGCATCCACAGTCCCACACGCGGAAAGCGAACCCAGAAACTTCGGTCTCACGCGGGGAAGGTTAACATCTAGACTACTGAACTGGCGTCCACTGGCGTTAATGTCTAACTTTAATCGTTCCATGGTCCTGCATAATCCTCATCTATTGTTTGAGGTGGGTAACTTCCTCATACCCGACACGAATTAAACTCCACCGATCATGATTTCTCACTAAAACTCCAGGAAATATATCCTAAATCTAGTCACTAGTGAGCATATGATTATTATTACTAGTAGTAAGGGGTTAGTGGAGACTGTAGTACTTTCGTAGTTGGAATCACGAATCGATCTGAGCTAGATCATTTCTAGTGGGACGATTACACTTTACTAAAAGTTAGGTAAAGGGAAGTGTTCTTTTGATTAAGTATAACCTGTAGTTTAGGAAATGGTGCCGTCTCCTTTTATTTTTATACAATAAACAGAGTTTTTATCTCTAGCATAAACACTTAGTGGGCCAAAATCAACTTAATCCTTCTATAGAAATAGATAGATTAACCATCTGTATATCAAATCTTTAGAGATTAGCTGACACAGAAATTGCCTATTTAGTTACTACTAGAAAGTTTTTACCGATGTCATTATGAAGTGATGAATCTTTGAAAGATGATAACAACATTTCTTACCAGAAGAGACTGAATGAAATTAAATTCTCAGTACAGATATTAGTTTTTATCCGTATGAGCAAATAGACATTAACTTATCTAAATCACTTTATCTTATCATTTCATTTGTGTCCCTTCTCAAATATATGAGTTCCTTAAATCAAGCGTACTTAATGTGCACAGATTGCGAAGCAACAGTTTATTTCACAAATAAATGAGTGGTATTTCCTCGATGCTTTTTAACTGTTTAGTCTCATTTTATGATTTCCTTTGTTAGTAACTATGCCATCTTGTTCTAATGTCCGTTTCCTGTTAAAGGTAATCCACCGATCAATGTAAAGAACGTGCGTTTTACACGTGATGATTGGAGGATTCGAGTTTACTTTGATCCGTTATATTTTTTCAAGACCAGCGAACATGGTTTACCTGTTTCAGAAGAAAACAAAAACCATATTGTTACGACAAAATCTACTTCAAACATCGTCACAGGCAACTCACTCAGTTCACTTCCTATAAAGAGTGACAACAGTCAACAATCTCAATGGAAAATGTTAATCAGAATATGCGCATCAAATTATTACAGGCGCGAACAATCATCTGAGGATATAATAAAAGAATGTTCTTCATCACAATCCACAATTAAAACTCTGAAGAAACCAAATTATCGTTCTTGGTTAGATTTGTATAAATCATTTCCTAATTATAAATATCAAACAACTTCCCTCTCAAATGAGTGTATTGATAAGCTAGTTGAAAACCCTGAACAGGGTAAAATTGAAATTCCGCTCATATATTTATTTAATAATACATTCTATAACACTTCTCTTCTAAAATCCGAAAACAAATCCAACGAAATAGTCGAGATAAATAATTTGTTGTCCGATGATATTTCAACCGACACACCTCAAGGAATTTACGTTCACTGGTCCGAAAAAGAAAAATTAACTTATCAGTTTAGATTTTACGATGAAAGTGGGAGTCTGGTTTACGCAACCGACTGGGTCGATGAAGAAAACGGTTGGTTACAAACATTATTTTAAATAGTAGTCCATTGAGTATATATTCCATGGTAATTTTCCATAGTTAAAAACTACACTTAGGATCTTTGTGACTAATGGCAGTTTGTTAGTGAATTAACGCTAGTAATGTCCTTGTCAGGTGTAGAATATTAAACTGGGAAACTGACTTTCTTAAACAGAAATAAATTATTGACAGTCTATAATCCTATGTACATATTCACCAAATAGGTTAGGTCATAGCTGAAAACGTTAAGAAGTCAATTACATGAAATAAATTTACAAACGAAAACCTAACAACGCAACTACAAGACGTGTGACCAGTTATACCGTAACAAATAATTAGCATAGGTTTAGAGAACCCAAATAAGATTTAGGGGTTGAAAAAACAGAGACCAAAACTCGGTTTTCAGCCACAGGAATAGAAAATTGACTAAATTCATAAACCTGGATCACTGTATCCCAGTTTAGTGGCCCGGAAGTTAAGCGTTTAGTTCAACGGATAGAATCGTGAATACCTTACGAGGTGTGTAATCTCAAAAGAGTTTGGGAGTTAGTTTTTAAATATTAGTCGTTGTCAGGGATAAAAATTATAAATTAAATTAAGATGTCGACCAATTCCTCATATGCTCTCCGAGTTTCTTTGTCTGGACTTGAAAAACCCTTACCAATATTTGAGGCTCACGATGATTAATACGGACAGATTTCATCCTTACAAATGATAGCACGAAAAATCTGAAAAACGTTAGGGAGTTCATTTTTATGTGGCGTTGTTGAGGTAGCATCCATAGACTTGAAAATAAGCCAAGAAGAAATCCTTTAGAAACTATCTTAAAAAATGACTTTAATATTTTTCAATTAGCAGAATATTTTATACGTCTGACACAGTTATCTGTGAAATTAAGTAATCAGGCTAAGGTTCATTTTCGAAATGATGACTGATCGTATGTTTTATGTTTATATTCGTATTATTTTTGAATGAATCTGAACCATCATTAATTCATTTGTACATCTGAACACTGGAAGTTTATTGAAAAAGTTAAGTCATTAGCTCTAGTTAGAGTATGACGGTTTTTTAAAAAGCTTTGAAAAACACCGAAATATTAGTTGTTTTAATTACCTTATAATATTGTTGCGGTATGTTTATGAAAAACACCTAACAGATTTTCTGAAGTTTGCAAATTATAATCATTTATTGTCATAAATAATTGAGATTTTTCTATTTCAGATGGTTACTATGATGAATCCACTTTGTCCATCTTCAGTTATCAGAATACCTACTTGTGGATTGTAATAATTGGTGCAATCTTCTTTCTTCTCTTAGTCATTCTATTTGTGTTTGTATTGTGCAAACGATTAAACAATAAAAATGGTAAATTGACATTGCTATATTATATGAGTATGCACAGTAAATTATTAATACTTTAAACTGTTTGTGTTATAGATGTTTAGTAACGTTTTGCTAAATGATGATTATGCAAGTGTTACGGGCTGTGGTATTGGCTCACAGATAATGTAGATTAGAATTATTCTTCAGTGAGCACGTATTTATTTAGTGGTTATATTCATTAGCTGAATAAGGTAGGCTGCATTATAATGTGTTCAGTCATCACATACTCAAATTGTACAGGAAACTTCATTTTGTATCTCATTCACTGGTGATGCAAAAATATCGGTTGTGGTGTTCCAGCCATTCAAGGTTGATGAAGCCTTATCCAGTAAGGCCAGTGTGGTTTTTCGGGAGTTGGTTTCCTTGTTTCAAGGCTCATAAACCTATTCCGTGGATGTAGTCGCGTCAAAAACTCGGTATCCCTGGGTCTTGGCAAGTGGGCGAGGTACAGTGACCAAGTATGGTTTACACGCATATTGGCAACACAAAAGTTTTCAATCATGCATCCTATAACATATATATGGATATATTCACTCACCTGGGAGAGTAGATGATCACCACCTCCTTTAAACGTATTCGCAACTGACCGTTTCTAGAATGTTACACGCGTACCACTGGTACAAAGGCTTCGAACCTCACACGTCATGACGAGCACATAAGCATAAAAACTCACAACGGAGTTTGATGGTTACCCCTTCCCTGTTTTTGCAACCGTATCTTCACTATGTCTTCGACTTGCTTTGGAAGGTCGCTGGTTTTGCTAGACATACGGCAGATATTTCCCCAATTTACATTCCTTCTCCTAACTTATGTGCGTACCCTTTGCATATACCTACATACGTAACTACACGAGCTGAGACTCATGAGATTCACATACATAAGCATATACATCGAGCAGCCCGCAAGATTTAGTGAGCCCTAAAATCGGAACACGACTAATTCATTTTACAGCAGAGTGATGGATTATTCCGATGTCTGCCGGCCGCACAAATTAACTAGCAAAACCGCCCTTACTACGCAGCAGCACCAGGTGGAAGCATTGAGTACGATTAATACAAGTATCAGCGTACTGAATTAAGGAATATCTCCTCATTGCTCGTTAATGGTAAATACAATGATTCAATCATCATCTATGAACTCTCAGAAATTGTTTCAAGAAACGTTTTTGACGGAAAAATCAAAACAGATTTAGCATTGATATTTCTGCGTATCTACAATGATTAGTAATTCTATCCTACCATATTTGTTTTATTTGTCTAATTCAACTTAAGTGGTCAATGTACCTCCAAGTTTAATTGGTAGATAATTTATATAATCAAGTTTCAGTGGATAAAGTCGTCACATAAATTAAAAAAAACACACACATCGGTACATATCTCAGTCCAAATACAAATATATCTGTCTAAAATAACAGGATAGATATTTCAAAGTCACTGCACAAAGGTAACGATTTAAAATGAACGAAGTTAAGGAGCTTTACAATATTTCCTAATATATTGGATATATATTCAAGTGTGTATAAATTCTATTTTTGATTTCAGGTTTCTCCAAGATTCTAATTAACTGTATTTTCAAGTTAAAGATAAAAAATAGACACCTAAATAAACCTATCCAACGTAATATTAATACAGATTTTATTGTAAGAATGAACTTCATCAAAACGTCTCTTCAAAAAGCCACCTCAGTTTCTTTAAACATCAGTTGTAGGAGCCTACCTATTTACATTTATAATACTGTTTCATTGATATGTAGTTTGAGTAACAAAGTTATTTTAACTAACTTAAAGAGATCTTGCTGGAATAATATTATATTCGCGTATGTTGAGTATAATGAAGAAATCTAGTGAAAAAATGTTGTCGGTTAAAGTACGACTTTTTATATTTATTCGAACGCACACTATTCTCCCATATATATATATATATATATATATATATATATATATATATATATAAACACAAAAGACCAGCACATTACGCACAGCCATTAAAAACATGAATATCGCATCCCAACTGAACAGTCTAGTGGATAAACGCTTGGTTTGATCTCCAGTATGCCTGGGATGAGCACTGCCGAGGAGTCCCATACTAGGACGAAACGGCTGTCCCGGGCTTCCAGGTTTTTCATGGTGGTTTAGCTTCAACTGACTCATGATTCCAACTATTAAAATTATTAGAATATCCACACGAAACCCCTTCTGATAATAAAGTATTGTATTGTGTTTTGTATTCATTTCTTAAAGTTGATTTTAAACAACCACCTTAAAAATATTTGTGGCTTATTTTTTAACGATAAATCATAGTATAATTCTATAGTAGTAAGCTCTATTTCATTTCATCACTATGAATAAATAAATAAATTTCTTTGCCTATGAAACATAACAATGAACCGATTGTATGTATTTAGAAGAATATTCACCATTTGGATATATAAAAATATAAAATTCTTTTCGAAGTTAAAAATTATTGGGTTTTTTTCTCATTTGTAAATCGAGTGAAAATATATCTTAAATGTGACAAATACATAAATGACTACATATTACTGTCAAAGCTGAAAATTAAAATGACAGTTTGTACATTTTGTCAATGTAATAAATGCGGTCATTAATCAGATTATATATACAATGTATATGTTTGCAAAACTTTGTTATACCTTGAAAAGTTTTAAATTGATATAGTATATAATATTCTAGTGCATACAAGGTCACTGGAGAGAACTTCACTCAATAAGGTCCTTTTGATTGAGATCATGAATCGATCAATTATTAAAAAGCTGAAAGCGATGGATGACCGTTTTGTCCTATTATAGGACTCCTCAGAAGTGCTCATCCATAATCCCGTACGCGGGATTCGAACTAGGGTCCTTCGATCACACAGGCGAACGCTTGACCTCTAAACCACTGAGCCGGCTGGCATCCAACGGTGTTAATGTCTAACATCAACCAATGCACGAAATCACGCCACCGTCCACCATTGTCGTCAGTGAGTCACTATCTCACATAGACCTGATTGAACTCCGCTGATCACGGCGTCTCACTAGAGCCTCAGGAAATACCTCTTGAAACCAGTCACTAGTGAGCACAAAACCCTCTTCTGGTAATATGCATCTTCTAATTATCGTTCTTGAATATAAATAATATACGTTACATAAACAGCTAAAACTTAAGTAAATAAAAATCTTATCCCGACAGTCTTGATAGATACTTCTCTAGAACCATCACTTCATTTGCAGGCATGATGACTAATAATTTTATCATGACCATTGATATTAAGGAGATTTACTTATTTCCTTCATTTAACTGTTTGTACTAAAAACTTCTTTATGATATGAAGTATATCGAATATCACTGATTTCTTTTCAGAGATAATAAGACAAAGACAATATTTGTTGATATGTAACTTCATATATGTTACTTCTTTTTTAAAAGGAACTTAATAGTTGCTTGAAATAAGTTGATTACTAGTATCTAAAACAAGGAGTTTAAATGAGTTGCTGAAGTTCAAGTTGTTAATAATTAAACCATCATATAATGTCTTCTTTGAACTGGTCAGGATCCAGAAATACATTCAATTCATTTTGACAAGAAGGTTTTATTCTGTTTAAAAAGCTGATAATCACAATTTATTTGTAATTAAAATCGAAATTCTTAGAATTAAGTTTTGGAATTCATGCCAAAACTTACTAGAAAAGCATAAGGTTGGATCGGAGTGATGAATAAAAATGAGGCTTCAATAATGATAAAAGTTGGATTTAGAAGTTACTTGAATAGTGTAGTGTCGGTTTCTATGTTAAGCACACATAGTTTATTCTAGCTTTTGGACAAACCAAATCCATTCTTCCTAAGCTACATTTTAACCTTGTTAATTATTCGCTTATCAATCTTAACTGTTTTTATGTAAGCGTATGTATATACATTTCCTTTCTTACTCATCACATGTCTGCAACTCATTTTTACCCGACTATAAATATCGATTAACCCTCGATTAAATCGAGTTGGCTTACATGTCTTCTCCACTACGTGTCATTTCACTTCACTCTCTTCTCTACGTTTTGTTCCTTCGTTTGTTTGTCTAGATCAATGATTGTGTGAAATATACGTATTAAAAATTCATTCTTATGTTTGATTTATTTAATTTCGTTATTCACTTCCGCGATTTAAGTCGATGATGATATACGAGGATCGGTGACATGTTTATTTCAATAACAATCATTCAAACGATCAAACTGAAGTCATATAATCGAGGGCTACTAAAAGTTAATCTATTTTTATTTATCATTATAGCTTAGAATTGATTCTGTTCTAACTATTATTGTACAGGTTTAGAATCATATACAAATACTTATGGTATACCCTATTTTATGGATTCGTTTTGTATAGAAAAGCATAAACTTAAAACTTTGATAAAGTGAATTTTTTATTGAAATATTTTTTTCACAATTCATCTAATTATTTTGCTTATAAGTCAATAGAAGCTATTTGATCTTTCCCAAGTTTTTTTTCCAATGTTAATTGATACCCTTTAATAATCTTACCATTATAATTAAGGTAACTAACATAATGAATAATGAATCATATAATCGTAAGGCTAACAATGAATGGAATAAAATAAGAACAAAACAGTATTCAGAAAACAGTTAATATCGTAAACCTTATAGGAAAGAATAAATAGTTTTATTTGTTTTTCGGTTTTCAACAGTGAAAACATCATTAAAGGAAATATATTTCCATAATGCATTGTTTCAATGTTATTAAATAACAAATCACTAAATATACAATTCATGAGAACATCGGTTCAGTTTCTAATTGTTATAACTTGTGAGGCTGTGTGCCCTGTATATTGGATAACGCAACGATACCGCCAATCAGAGAGCAGCGAATTATCGACCGAACCAGGAACGCATAAAACACGTGCGAGCAGCCTAGAGTTCTGATCGGCCCTGATTTCCGCCTAACCCAGCCAGTTACGTCCAGAACGCCAATCTCAGCCTCTGCAATATAAATCATTTATTTCAAACATACGGGGTTTATATACCAATCAAACAGACCGCAACGTACCATAAAATATGAAACAACATTTGTACAATATTTGGCCAAAAGTGGCTATGAATGAGGGAGGTAATGATTAACAGACAGGGAATAATTCAAGAATGGTAAATCGTATAATAATAGTTCATAGGTAAAAATAAAACTCATATTAAGAGGGACATGAATATGAACAGTTTAGTTATTTAACAATTACACGATAAAAATATACTCATAGTATTAGTTCATAAATGGATCCCAAAAATTACCATTCATTATACTTATCGGGATATAACACTAATCATACAAATGTTCTTGTTATTTAAATCTGTTCTTTGACGTCGAGCTTCCTGATCAATACAACCTAGAACCTTCATTTATATTTAGCCTAGCAAATGTGTCCTTGCCCATCGAAATAAATGATCATCATGCACTTAAATATTTTCTACTATGAATCTTTAAAGAATACGCAAACATATATACATACTGAAACCAATTTCTGAATCATTTAAACTGTTAGTGAAATATATTTATGAATTAAAACTTGTTGATCATCCCTTTCTATTTGTCAAAGTACGCTAACAATTTATTACTGTACTACAACACAAAATGTGCAAAATGCCATTTAAATTTTTATGTGGTTAACTCATGAATATGTGTTCACATATATGCCTACATAGGAACATGTGATAAGTTTGGCTAAAGACATTAACATTTGATGCTATTCATTTTCAATTCCTCCGATTCTCTAGTACTATGTTCTCCAAAAACAAAAAAAACAAACGAAACACTGTGCATACATAGGTGCACGAAATATCGTGTCTAGTATCTTCATTTTTTTACTTCTTCATTTTAAAAACAGAAGTTTTTTCTTGTCACTATGTTCATTCTTTAACTTTCCAGAAAATATTTCTACTGGCTATTTTAGAAAAGACGTTCTGAAAATTATTATTGGTTAGTATTATTAATAATTACAAAAAATTAGAGTACATTAGTATGGATTTTATATTATAGTTAGTTAGTTACAAGGAGTTGGCAAATGCTTTGGTTAGTTTTCATATCAACCATACTATAACACTTCTTTTCATTATAGTAATATCATCATCATCGTCATCAATATCACCAAATTATATGTAAACTGATATTGAAAATTTTCACAAAATTCAATTGTTATTATTTTAACTCTTTTTTTTTAATTTTTCGTTTCACATATACTGAATTTTGAAGTGAATACAACAACTGTTCACTAAACATCAAACGCCAACTTATCAAGGAAAAGCTTTAAATGTTAAATATAAAACAAGCATCACAGGTTTATGTTAGGTAGATGATGATTCATTTAAAGTATTTACAGTGAGATATGAAATAATTTAGCTAGTAAATAATAAAGCTGCCCACAGAAATGATTATGTAAATACGATTGTTACTTTATTTTATATATATATATATATATATATATATATATATATATATATTGATCTAAAATTTTAGTGGAAGTTACAATTTAGCGTAATTATGGTTTTCTATGATACTTCACTCGATGTAAATCAGTGATGATGTGGTGTGTGCATGTGGTGTCGATATATATAAGTAATATGTATCATTAATCGAAAGTAAAATGCCTGAAGGTAGAAGGTTAAGAAAATCGAAGAGAGGAGAACGAAAACAGAGTGATTGGTGTGGAAACAAAAGAACAAACAACAAACCTGACTGATATTTAGAAAAAGAATGGTCAAGTTTGAGACAACTGATTAAATTAAGTAGTTACTGTATTGCTCTTATACTTTACTATGGTATTCCGTAATATTGTATTCAAATACATTCGATTGTCCTCACATATGTTCTCGTTCACTACAATGAAAGTCGATTCCCAGAAAATTCACATAAAATAACGCAAGCACTTGTAAGTAATCAGTAAAATGTCATTACTGAAGCTTATTTTACAATCAGAGAATACTAATTCATTAAGCATTCAAAAACTGAACTTAATTCACAAGTAAAAACTGCTTTAGAACAATTAGTTTTCATAAAAAACAACATTCACTTCTATTTATTACGTTTTGCTAAATCATCTATAATAAAATTCTATATGTGAATCGTGAATCTTTAATTGGAATACATATTCATTAGAATTTATCTTCTCCGTAATGTTATAATGGAGGAAACAACGAGAATTTTTTGTCCAAACAAATCAGCATCACTCTGATTTTTTCATTTTTACGTTTTATAACATTAGGCTGTCATTTAAACTCCATCAAACATTATTAATATCTTGGATAAAAACCAAGTACATTTCCAAAGTCGATTGCATTGTTTACCACATTCATTCATCGTATGTTTTTGAATTTGAAGGAGTGTCCATATCTATAAATGTATTGATAAATATTTATGATGAATATTTTATTTATGAAATCGTTAAGTCACTTTGTCCAACTAACGTAATGTGCTATCTTCAATGTTATTCGTGTTATGAATCATTTTATTTTAATTTTATTGCATCTTAATAAATAGTTGAGTAGGTATTAGATGTACACTAGTTCTAGAATCCTAATCCTCCTTACTTCAAATATTCATGCATTCGACAAAAGTCCTTATATGACGATCATACAGTGTTATGTAATAGAACTTTAATCCCGACTCTTAAATATTTGCATAAAATATAGGCTACAGAACTTTAGTGATGTTGACTTTTATTAACTAAGTGACGATTAAAGATCTATGCAAGTTCACACTTTACATTAAAATTGATACTTTGATTTACACCCAGTTTATATGTGAACAACAAAAATGATAATTTTAATTATCCTAATTACAGTTGGCTTTCTGGTCTAATATTTATAAGCCGAATAACAGAAATTTAATAACTGATGAATTGAGTTCGTTTTATATTTATAAATCCTTTCCCTTAGTGCCCTTATGTAGATGGCTTTGATGTGAAATTCATTGTAAACTAACCTGAATACTGCATATTATCTAATATCATCAATATTAAATACAGTGATACAAAATCAAAACGTCTATGTGAAACAGACTGGTATAAATACTAGTAAGTTAGTTTATATTCAGTTCTGTTCTTTATTAGTGTGAGAAAACTTTGAAGGGTTAAGTTAATGTAGAAGTGCAGGATTACTAATTCATTCTAAAGTCAGTACGGTCCAAAATTAATTATGTTCAATTACTTTAAAAATATTATGGGTTTAAAATTCAAATCCTCCCTAATTTGCATGTATCAAATTTACCTACTTACAAATAAAAAGTAGTAAAATATGAATGCCTAAAACATCCTTTTGTGAAGCGGCAAACAGATTTCCACATAAAAGATATTTGATTCTTCATAATGTTGATTTCCAGAGACTGTGATGATATTATGTAGAGCTGCGAATAAGTGTTCGTGTGATTCCTTTGATTATTTATAGCGGAACTTCTCCAAACATATTATTTAGAGTATAAAAATTATCTTGAGTTCGTGAAACATGTTTTGTTGTGAAGGAATTTTATCTACACCTCAATAGACTCAAAGTTATTTAAGCAAGAGCTGAATAAACATATGTTCTTGACTTAAATCCATTTACTTGGATCGCCTCAACAAACATTTCACATCATGGCTTTTGTAGAAGAGAACAATTTAATCAAATATGTTATTCACTTTTCACATATAGCTACAATAATTTTGTTTTGATAATTATTGTAGTACTGCCATTATACAAGAAATATATATATGGCTACTTAACAAAACAATATGTAATTTCTGGTTGTTTGAAGATTAGATTAGTAAAGTTCTTTTTTCTACTTTTTCTTACTGTTATAAAGATTTTCAGACACCTAATAATCACAGTTCAACACCATTGAATAAATCTATTATTAATTCTACGACCACCTCACCAATAGCAAGTTGTAAATTACAAGAAAATTTCTATGTAGCTAACTTATCAGTTGTTGATAGTCCTTGTTCATTATTAGGCAGAAATGAAAGGGTCATTAATAAAGAATTCCCATTATTGTATAATAAAGATGTACAAAAGTTTCCTAATGAAAAATATCTCCACCTGAAAAACATTCAAATAATCAAACGTTACTAAGGAGAAATGACTATCATAGAGGAGAAATCACTGGTGAAAATTTACCTGCAACTAGTATATCAAAAAATCTATATGAATTACGCTATAATCAACTGGGATTATCGCATAATCAGTTCTCTGGTGAAGCCCTCAGTGATGAACTGCAGTCAACATCTCCAGAAACTAATTCACCTATAGTATCCCACTTAACTCCCATACCAATTATCCGATCGAATGAAATAGCGCCTTCTACACCACTTCTACTTTACAACAGTTGTTGTACGAATAGAAAGTTTAGTGTTGGAATGAACCACTATTTACCACCACTTTTTGGTCCAATCCCTATTCAGTATAATTCAAAATCCTCAAATTCAATTAGTGAACTTTCATCACCTTTTCTTGGAAATGGAAATCATTTTAGGAAAACGTATCGAGCCCCCGCTAACACTTGTTATCATCACCATCTTCAGAATAGTACAACTAACAATGATACCAGAATACCATCTATAATAAACGAAACAATCAAGAAGATTTAACTGACCAAACAATCTGTAAATCTAAAATGAATCAGCCAAAGTTACATAACGCTTTAGATATTAAAAATGATGTAACCAACACTTTAAATTGCTGCAGTCCACCAAATGAAATGAACCTTTTACAAGTAAATGGTAAATGTAATACACTGGAAACAGATTCTTTTGGACAATATAACTCAAATCATAAACCTAAAAACAAATCTATTTCATTAATGAATAATTTATACCCTTTGAATAACACAGAGTTTCAATCTTCTCAAATTAATCCCAATCGAAATAATAACAATTGTAATATAAACAATTATCTTAATATGTTCAATTCTGATAATGACTATTATAATAATTCACATTTTATCCATGATGATATTAATGATAATTTAAAAAATTATGATACAAACAAGTTAGGTTTAAAAATGATCCCTAAAACTATCCATCATTCTGAATCTAATAAATTGTCATCACCATTATTTGAGCATAGACCAAATCTATTACCGACTGATGGAAATCATTCTGGTAGAATTGAAGAAAGTACATTAATGAATACGGTAAGTTATTGATTTTATTATTTTATTATTTTATTTGAATTTTCTTTTTTTGACTTCATACTTGTTTAATTACTAGAATAGAGTTTTTATGAATAATAAACATTAGTAGTATATTATAAATTGAAATAAATTTACTCTGGTCAATGTTAACAGAAAAGTCAAATATTCATTTAAAAAGTAGTTTTACTCATTTTCTTTTCTAACCTTTTTTTTTATATGAAACCATTATATCTTTCATCATAAATAATTAACTTTTAGTCTGTCAGTAACAGATTGATACATGATAAAGCAACTAGATCATTAATATTTCAGAATACATAAATTCAATTAATGAACCTTGTTGACAGATGTAATCACTATGGAAATATTTTTATTCAAACAGTTGCGATCATGAGTCAGTTGAAACTAGACCACCATAGGAAACCTGAGAGCACTGAACGGCCGTTTCATCCTACTGTGGGACTCCTTAGCAGTGCGCATCCACGACCCCGCCTCGCGGGATCCGAACCCAAGACGTGTCAGTCTCGCGCCAGGCGCTTAACCAACAAGACCACTGAGCCGGCCGGCATCCAACGGTGTTAATCTCTAACTTCAACTAATCCACGAAATTGAGCGACACATCCACCATTGTCATCAGTGAGTTACTACCTGACAATTGACCCGGTTGAACTCCACTGATCACTGCTTCTCACTAGAACTCCAGGACTTATGATCTCAACTGTTTAAATTACTATAATCTCCACAAAACCCCTTCTGATGATATTTTTATTCAACTATATAAGTTATTAATTCATGATGCTTATTATAACGACATGACCTGTGTGATTTTTATTTAGACTATTTTTATAATACTGTGACTAGTTTAGTTTTGTAGTTGAAAAACTAATCATTTGAAGGAAATTTTATTGTGAAACATATTTTATAGTGAATAACATTTGATCTTAAATTAGCATTATATTGAGATATGCCGATAAATATGCTAAAACATTTTAGATCTGTAGGGGTCCAAGTCAGTGATAAGAATATAATCATATTGAAAGTATACTTAAAAATGTGGATTAAGAATTTACTTTTGTAAATGGAATTAGTTTATTAACCTTTGTAAACGTTGAAATGAATAGTATGTAATGTGTACTTAAATCTAACTGTAGCTCAAACATACTAATTTACACATAGATCTGAAAATCATTACATAATTGGTAAAAAATTGACAAACCTAGATCATAAAACAATCTATAATTCCATTTTCAGTAAATACATACTTATATAACATAACCATAAATCCATGAAATCACTGACTGTTGGTCTGAAACATGTCAGTAAGTGCAAACGTTTTGGTTAGTATTTTCATGATAATTACATTTTATGGATGAGGGATGTTGAATTACATCCTAAAGTCAGCCTGGTAAGCAGGCTTTCATTGATCTATCTTTTTTCTCTGATCCCTAAGCTTAATATTATTTTATAAGTTTCATTCATTGATCACATTCATCCCAATGAAACTGCTTGTGTGTACAGCTTTGTACACCTGTCAATATCTCTTTATTTTTTCTGCCTCTCATTTTATTAATTTTCTCACTTGTTTTAGTGTAACGTCTAGTAAATTGGACCTGACAAATAAGAATCAAATTTTTGCACTATTTGTCATTAATTTACTAATGAGTATTTTTAACGAAATTATTTGTAGATGGTTAAAACTTGGAATAAGGTTTATTCACTTATATAAAATATATTGTTCTAAATGTAGTATAAGGCCGTACAACATAGTAGGTTAGTAAAAGTGAAAGTTTAGAGTTTGAAAACCTACTGTTAATAAAGAATAACAAAAAATATTAAGATTAATAGTTTCAGGAATGATAGCAATTGTTAAATAACAAACGTTTTCAAATTGTATATTACACACCATGACTTTATCTTATAGAAGGATCCAATTAGAGTAAAAGCTGAAGGAAGATTTTACTGGTGACTATATATGCATGGGTTTTGCATAAAAATATGGGTATGATGAGTACCTGAATCTTTAAACTGAAACTTATAATTCTAATTCGCATAATTTTTTGTTACATTGAAAATGTCACTTGTAAAGAATTTAATGTATTTTTAGTTTGAAGCTTTATAGAGACCAACTCAATTCATACTAAGTTTTCAACAAAGGTTGACATTTGATGCACAGTACTGATGTTTTATGCTAGTTCAATAATGCTCAGCAGTGCACAATGATGACCTGTACAAGTAATTGAACTCAGATTATTCGGTCCCAAAAAACGAACACAATATTTCAGATTGTAACTGTACTTTAACATTTGTAAAAACATGAATAATATGTAAATAACGCTAGTTTCAATCTTCATAATTAGAAGAAAAACATCTTTAGTGTGCAAAATAATGTACAGTCACGTCACACTCATAGATTGAGTATTGATGAATTACGTTTCCAAGTAAACGTTTAAAAGGTATACCATAATTGTTTTTCCAAAACACAATATGCAGAGTTGTATAATAGAATTCCTCATATGATAGGCTTCATTTAACTCGCGGGTTTTAAGGCAACTAAAATCATTTACTGCTGTTCACTACTTGACTGGAAGCAATTAACTAAAATAAATTAACAGTGGTAAATAATGTTCAGTTATTTAGAAAAAAACAGTACCCATAATTTTGTTACAGAAACTGTTACCAGTCAACTAGAAATAAAGCGATTACTTAGAATCTTAAAACATAGGAAGAAATAACCATTTAGCTTTACCATGACAATGGAAAAAATTCTTTACAAACAATTAGACTGCTATGTTCTGTTAACTGTTAGTTCTCAATAAAATTACGTACTAACTCGATTAAAACATGATACTATGGGTAAACTGTACTTTTTCATATGAATCTTATTAATTTATCCTGTTCTCATTTCTCACTATAGCATACCTTTTTAAAAAGAAAATACTTACGAAAAGTGAGTATTTTTACACTTTTAGACTGACAGCACAGAAGTTACTGCTAAATAAAAGATAATAACTCTGTAGCATGTTGGTAATATACATGGAAAAATTCTAATGCTATATGAAACCCGACATGAAATTGAATCCATAGATCAGAGATCTATAAGTCTATTATAAATCTCTGCTACGATTCTTTAATACTAAAATATGGAATTTCTTTATGTTGTAATAAATGATATACTGATGAACAATGGGATTACATTGAATAAAATCTTACATTTTACACTTTCCCCCAAAAAATAACAACTATGCCTCAATTATTCAACCTATTCACTTAACTAACTATTGATTTATTAAATTATATATATAATATTACAATGATAAAAACAAATATGAAATATACTTGTTAACCATTCTTATTCAGAATTGGTAATTCATTTAGATTATCCACTCATTTATTCAATAATTGTATATTTAAGTTTCTATACTTAAGAAATAAATAGAAAAGAAACAATAAATATTTGTTTATTTGTCCTCTTTTATTTATTAGCTAACTTATGATCATTTACTAAGTGTAACACTTCAAGTTGGATAGTTTCGTGAGTTATTTATATTATAGAACAGATATCAACTGATACAGTATTTCATTGTTCATTATTTTGTTTTCTATTATTATTGACATTTTTGTTGAAGCTCAATAGATTTTTGTTACATATTTACTGTTGTTTATTATAGATATAACTTGTTTTGGTTTGGGCATTCTACAAGTAGATTCATAAATAGTCATTGTAGGTAATAAAGTGTTTTTTTTTAATGGAAATAAATTATTTTTACAGTTGAAATTGTGATTCGATCTAAGTTAGACTATCATTGAAGACCTGACAGCATTAGACGGTTGTTTTGTTTTAATATTGGACACTTCAGTGATACACATTTACGATCCTTTACGTGAAATTGAAATCAAGGACCTTTGGTATCAAACGATAACGCTTAATCTCTAGACCACTGAGCCAGTATCCAGCAATGTTAACGTCTAATTTTAATCACTGCATGATTTTACTCAAAATTTCATTCATTTTCTGTGGTGAACATATGTCTCACAACCGACACTAATGAATTACTTCTTTAGTGTGTGTACATTTTCAACACCGATGTTATATAATCATTTTTCTACTCATTAAAAACTATTCACAGAACTACACTTCGAAATTTGACATCAGTCACAGACTTTCCTATAATTATAAGTAGATAAGGATAGCAAAAACTACATTTTATCATTCATAGAATCTAGCAAATTCATCAGATAGCATTTGTTCATACATATTATCTATCGTTTGTGAACCACTTTACAATATATGTCTCTCTTCCATTTTTACCATGGGTTTATCATGAATAACAATCGGATTGCACCTATAAGAGTGACTTATGTGTATGACTAACATATTGATTTAATCAAGATATTACACTACACCTTCCATTTAATGTAGAGGAAAATTTTTTACAAGTAGTCTCCAAAACAAGCAATAACACTTGAAATGCACCCAAATACGTAACTAACTAATAATTAATTAATATTAGCGGCCTAATATTCAACATAAATCAACCTCATTTAAGAGACCGCTCAAAGCATTTCACTGTGGGACTTCTCAGTGATGCATATCAAAAATAAGCCAGGGATCAAATCTTCGACCTTTATTTATCGCCACCAGATCTTAACGTTCCAAATTCGATCAGATACTTGTATAGGTTGACGATCGTTTAGAAGAATCAATAATGACTGCTTCATTAATAACACAAGTTAATGACACTGAACATCCCGTGCTCATTCTGTACTTAAATAGAGCTGCTGCAAGATCACAATGCTTTTCAGTACTGTATACACTGATTAAATAATTTTTTAAGAAAATGAAAAGTCTGAGAATCCTTTTATTAAATGCCAGGCATTTAATCATATGATGTTTTACAGATGATTGAAATTCAAACCACAAACAGTTTTTTTCTGAATTTTTTTCAGAATGCTTTATGACAAGCATATTCTCATTATCAAAACAATCAACAGAGTGTCGATTGATAGGTGATGTCAAAAAACAAGATCAGTAGCTAGTAGATTAGGTTTCACTTCAGTAAAATGTCAACCTAATAATAATAATAATAAATGCAAAAACAGACATGATTTAACGCTACTGTCAATGACAAGTGATAAGGGATAACTTCCTTATCTTTAAACCAATTCATTCTTGTCTAAAACTGACCAAACCGAATAGAATATAATGAATGAAATAACAGATGGAATCTTAGAAAAATTTTTTTACCTATTTAGTGACTGTTTATTGATTATGTATACTTTGGAGAGAAATGATCTTAATGGTCATTATTCATTTTCCTATGAGGTTTATTGATTTTAATTATTGACTGTCAAAGATGATTGATTATTATGATTAACATATTAGGAATAAATTTCTAAATAATCATATCAATAATACTTTTGTCAGAATTATATGTAACATTTATGGGGTAGCAAACAAGACTTCTTTTTTTACAATGTATATCAAGAACATGCAAAAACTGATGCATGCTAGAAAAAACCAACATTATGTATTTCTACATCTGTATTTGTTTACTTGTCAGATTTGACCAAAATATCACAGTATGAAGTATGTATGACTGTCAAAATGATCTTACAAAATAATGTTTACTTATGAAAGTTGGGTATCTTTAGAAAAATATATATGATTTTCCAGCGAACTTTAAATTTTCATACTGATATACATATGAAAGTTGAATCACTACATTCAAGTTCTATACTGAATATGCATGCTCATGTGTTAGTTCGTATTTTATTGTTATCTAAGCCAACAACTAGGTGTTAGGATTGCTAACCGTTCGCCATACTTTCATTATACTTAAAGTTAGTTACAAAATGGATGCAACTTATTTTGTCTACGAGCTCTAAATGTAAAGAATTACATCTTGACGGGTTTGATTAGCTAGTAGCATAATAAAATAACTCTAGTTCTTAATGGTGTCACTTTAATGCAAATGTTATTAGAAATTAATTAGGAACTTTGACAATATGTAATAATTCAGTAAACATCTATGGTACATACAAAGTGACGGCGAATGATCACTACTGATCTAGTGACTAATCTTATTTGAGATGCAACCATATGATGATTATTGATTGAGAATGACTAAAAATATATTATTGCTGAAACTGCGGAACAGTATCATCCGGCTTCGCCATTTATTCATCATGCTGAGTAACAATCTTATTAGTATCAATTATCGGTAATGACAATATTGTTTAATGTATTATAGGAGTAAAACAAAGACAGACAACAAGTGTGTCTGAGTAGTAGATGTGATGCAAACATTCTAGTATTAAGATACGTTGGGTAAAAAAATAAACAAAACTTCCAGATAAGTTGGAGGATTGCTTAGCTCATCTTTTTAAACATGTAACGACTGTCATTTTATAAATATGGCATGACTAAACGAAAAAAATAATACAAAATTCCTGGTGATATCACCTTTATTTTAGTAATTTATCCAATATTTACTGTTGTTACGGTCTTGAAATGTAAGTTATAACTGAATTCCCTTTCATAGAAATAACGAACCTAAACTAAGTAAATTTTATAAAATATATTTTTAGCATGGGGGATAATAACACAAATTAGTATGATATTCAACTGGAAAGTACCAAAATTTTGTTCAAATAAAAAGAATTTTCAATCATGTTATCTGGGACAAAAATGTTCGTAAATTGTTCTATTTTTTTCATTTCAGTAGCATGTAAGGGATAACGGGGAGAACAGTGAAATGCAATAGCTTTATAACTTATGAAGTTAATTCAAAATACTTTTTTTGGGGAGGGGGGGGAAGGAATTAAAAGTTGCTTAGAATTTCAAAAATGAGTGTTTTGTAGGTCAACTATCAACCTTTTTTCGTCCTACACATCCTCGATGTTTATATCCTGGCATCCTTCTTTAATTCTCTATAACGAATCTAGTATTTTAAAAAGTAACATATTATGACTGAACATAGATCTCAAAAAAGAAACTTTGACACTACAATTTACAATAACATACAAGTTATGTATACTGTGAACGATCAAAATTGATATTATTCAGATATCAGGTACCTAAATTCACTAAAATAATAATGAGATAATCAGATGAAATTGTATCGACTGAGCATATCTTCCTAGCTCAGTCGATACGACTCACAAGGAATTAGAGCTTATACATAATATGTTGATTGAAATGGGTTATGCACAAGGTTTCCTGAAGAAACACTTGTGTGCACCAAAAACATTAGCGAGATCGACTTCTAGCAAGAAACCTCTCTCACTGAAACTGCAATTCAACGGAGATGTAGCTTATGATGTGCTACGGGATAGATTGACTAGAGCAGTTAGGAGAACTTCTTATTCAGCCAACCCCTATCAATCGTACTCAACCTGGTTTATGATGACTCGTCAACTAAAGGATAAGTTCCCTGGTTTTGCCACATCCATATGTATCTATAAATTTAGCTGTTCCTGAGAAGAAAGCTTTATTGAGATCACCATCAGACAACTAAGCCAACGGGTTAGTGAATACCTCCCTTCGTGGTTAGGAAAAAATACTGTCAAGACAATATGCAGCTCGGTTCTATCACACCTGATCGATAGCGGTCATGTAGTAAACAGAAATAGGTCATTTTAAGTTACTACTTGTATTCCCATTAGTTTTCCTTATGGGGTTCAGTTTCGTGTCTTACACATAGCAGAAGCTATAGAAATTCAAGTCAACCACCCAAGTCATTGTGTTCGTAAGAAATTTGTAACACTTTTATCTCTCCCTTGGCCTTAATAAATGATTTTATTTATTAGTTCTTACTATGTAATCTTATAATTTTTATGAATGTTACTTCAGTGTCTATATTTTGCCTAATCATTGACCTATTTCCCATTATGTGAAAGTGATTCAAGCTTTTGTTATTCTTATCACAACTAGTACACTTGTAATCTCATTACGAATTCTTACTTTTCATTTATTATGTTTATTTATGTAATCTATTCCACTGTTATCACAGACTCATAAACTACCTTGATCGGTTTAATATTTTCGTATATGCGTACAAATATTACTGTATATTAAAGTAAAGCGTGATAAGGATCTAATCAGAAACAATATTGTTCACTTATATTATGTTGTTCTAAATCATAATATAGGAATTTTCGAAATTAAATTAGTTCAATTATTCATGTTCTTTAACATATATTCAGTTTATTACTAGAAGTCGATATTCTGATGTTAAAAGTAAATTTTTCAAATCGACTTTTGTTTATGCATACAATACTTGGTATTGTTTCGGCTTGTATCTTCCCATTCAGGTTTAAGACTGCAATTGATCAGTCTGTTATTGGCATATGTATATACTATGCGTATGCCTCGATACTGCCGTAATTCACAAGCTTTCTGTAAGCAATGATGGATATTGGCTAGCAGTGGAATCCAGGACGCGAGTCCCAGTGCGAACATCAACTCCGAGATGCAGGTACATCCAGCTGACGAGTCCCAAATAGGACGAAACGCGCGTCCTGGATTCTACTCCTAGTCACTATCTATCATTGTATACATGACTGTTTGTCATAGAAGCACATATCAATTTAGCACAATTTCACTTCTTTGTTTTCTACAACTTAAAATAAAAAACAAAATCAATTATTTTCGTTATATTTGGTGAATTTATTCAAATTTGGAACATACTTTTTTCGATGTAAATATGTTTTGAGATTATATTAACTAATGATTTCGTAGATGAAATTTATGTCAGAAAGAAAGCCATTTGATTATTATAAACTTGATATCTTTCATTATACCCTAAGCGTAATTTTCCAAATATTTCGTGGTTAAGTGTAAGACTGTTCGTTCAACTTCATTGCATTTGATCTTAATCATAAATAGCTATCAGTTGTAAAAATCACTAAACTGAATCACAAGGAGAGCATTAACTTGGAATCCTGAAGGAAAACGGAAATGAGGAATCGGAGTTATCTATGAAAAGGATGAATAGTAACTGAAAAGAAATGGAAAGAATTACCCAGGAAGATGTTGGATGTAGAGTGCTACTCCACGAGGGATAACAGGTGTAAGTAAGTATTATGGTAAATTTGTTTTATTATGAAAGCGATTAAGAACAGCTAATTTCTGATAATCGCTTCATTGACTAAAATGACAAACCATGCTCTTGTTTTTTCTCAGATTTTAATGATATCTTTATATATGTATACTAATTTCATATTTTCTAATTCACTATTTTATGTATTCATTCAGATTAATGATACTAATGTATCATTCATGCCCAATCGACATCATGAAGAAGTACCTGAAATGAAGATGTCTGCATTTAATCAAAATTCCAATCTTACAGAAAGGTTAAGTCCGTATGATAATACAGTTTTTGGCAGTTCAACAATTAAATATAATCCAATTTCTATCAATCACACAAATATTGATTGTTGTGAAGTGTATATAAATGAAAGCTCACAAGAAGAAAATAATTTTCCATTAGGTATTATTAAGAACAAAGATAATAATACAAAACTTTGTACCATAAATTCAAAGTTAGAAAATGATTAGAAATTTCTATATCGCGAATATTATACTTAATTGATTCTATCTTTAATAATTTAATAACCTTTGATTATAATGATTTTGTCATAGATAAATTTAATCTTCCCTGTTTACTCCTCATTTTCAACTTCATTTACTGGGGGAAAATGGTGAAAATACCATTATTTTGATTTGATTGTAATGTTATACATAAGCAACATGTGACTGAGAACTACTCCTATGAATATTTTTATGTTGTACATAATGGTTTCCTTTTCTTTTCTTCTTTTTCAAAATTACGCTCAAATACATTTTAATGTGCTGATTTTTTGTTTTCTGTTCTCACTTTTAATAATGACCACTTTTTAATGATTGTTTTTTTAAGAATGTTGTTGAATTATAATCATAAACATTGATGTATAGCATACTATTAATTAAGTAGGAGAAATAGATAGCTAGTAACACTGGTATTCCATTAAATTCATATCATAGGATTGAGTGATATAACATCTTTGAAGAAATTGAATTCACTCTAAACACAGAATTAAGAATAGTTGATCTTGTCAAATAGAATAACATTCTTCAACTCATAAGTGTCTCACTTACTTACTTACGCCTGTTACTCCTAATAGAGCATAGGCCGCCGACAAGCATTCTCCAACCCACTCTGTCCTGGGCCTTCTTTTCTAGTTCCATCCAATTCTTGTCCATTTTTCTCATGTCTGTCTCCATTTCTCGCCGTAATGTGTTCTTTGGTCTTCCTCTCCTCCCTTGACCTTCAGGATTCCATGTGAGCGATGGCCTTGTGATGCAGTTGGGTGCTTTCCTCAATGTGTGTCCTATCTACTTCCACCGCTTCTTCATGATTTCTTCCTCCGCTGGGATCTGGTTTGTTCTCTCCCATAGTAGATTGTTGCTAATAGTGTCTGGCCAACGGATCCGAAGTATTTTGCGTAGACAACTGTCGATAAACACTTGTATTTTCTGGATGATGACTTTCGTAGTTCTCCAAGTTTCCACCTTATAAGGGTAGGACTGTCTTGACGTTTGTTTCAAAAATCCTGATCTTGGTGTTGGTTGACAATTGTTTTGAGCCCCAGATGTTCTTCAATTGTAAATATGCTGCTCTTGCTTATAAGTGTCTGTAAAGGATATGTAAGACTGATATTCTTCCCCTTGATTTAATCATATTATATTATTACCAAGTGATAAATTTATAGGTTTAATACTTTTCAGTGTATTTTTTCCTACTTTTATGTGATAACAGGTATAATTCAATCACCACTTACTTTGTAAAAATGAAATAAAAAATTATTTTCAAATTATAAATCTATTCTTTCCTTTCACAATTAAATCATATCTGAAAAAGTTTAGTTTTCATACTTTATTAGGTTAACAATAGAATAAACATAACCATAGTTATTAAAGAGGAAGCATGTATTTGTAAAATCTCAGCGAAAGAATTTGAAGTAAATCCAACTTTTCACCTGGCGATCTAGTTCAAGCTTTTTCAAGGAATATATAACCATAACTATTTGAAATATTAATAAATCATAATTGAATAAAATGGTAATGATTAAAAACTCATTGTTTACTAATTAGAAAACGTTATACAGAAAAAGAATCGAATGAAAAACAGAATTATCAATAAATTATACGAACAATTCATCATTTACGTCAACGACAACAACAACAACAACAGCAACCAAAAGAAAAAAACAAACAACTACATTATGGATCATACATATTTTCATCAAAATTACTTCCATACAAAAAAGAATAAGTGTTTATTACTATTCATAAAATTGAATTAGGTTTATTAAATTTTATTTTCAAAAATGACAACATAAATAATGTAAATTTTATGCATTTTTTTTTACTACTTGACAATGTATTTCTTCAATTGATGTCAAACTGTAACATAAATTAGGATGAACATTTTGATCTATTAATAACCCATAAAGAAATCAATAATAATAAATAAGATCTCTGTATACAGTAGATATATTCACTCAGATAGTCAATAATAATGGAACAAGTGTTATATATATATATATATATATGTAGTTATATAGTTCTGGAGATGAAATCATTGATAAGGAAACTCTTCCCTGTTCAGGGGAGAGTTATTGTTATGCAATAAACAAATGTGAAGCATGTTTGTTATAATTCTAATTAAATGTTATTCAGTGTAAGGATTTGTAAGTATGCATATCACGTGTAACCCATTAACTTGCAGAGAAAGGTGCCATCTTTAAATTAACATTCTTAATTTACTGTCATAAAAAATCTGTTGGAAAATAATAATATAATTTCATCTGAGATTTATAACTAAATAAGTAGCATACATTTTAACTTGATTTAAACATCCAAACTTTTAAATACACGAAACTAATTTTAGTCTTTATAAGCAAAGATGGTTAGTGGCTAGCAGTAGAATCATAGATGCGCGTTTGGTCCTAATTGTGACGCTTCAGCTGGATGTACCTACTGACTGATCAATTTTCAGTCGTAAACAACAATAGGATGATAAAAGCAAACAACACAAAATGAATTTAATTTCTGTCTTATACTACTAATATAAGCCGTTCTTAATGAAGAAATAGTTAAAATTCGATTATTTTTAATAACTGTTTACTTGAATTAAAAATAAATATCAATACTATTCATTTAAATAATTTTTAAATAACGTAGAAAATAAGATTTCTGATCAAGTTTTTCAAGCGTATCCCTTTTTTTCCAATCAATTTTTTATATGTAACGAAGCAGATTTTAATTATAAAATGCATACTTTTCCTGTTATTTGTAAAAGAAAATAGCATTGATATGTGTTGAGATATTCAGAAAAACATCCCAGTAATTATCCTGTTAAGTCTAATGGCGTCCTTCGACTTTAACTGGACATTTCCTATTGATCAATATTTATTTCACTTGTCAAATATTGTACAAATGTTGTTTTCTATTTTATGGTACGATGTGGTCCGTTTGATTGGTATATAAACAGAGTATGTCTGAAGTATAGTGATTCATATCGCTGAGGCTGAGACTTACGTTCTGGATTCAACTGGCTGGGCTAGACAGGGAAGCGGGGCCAATCAGTACTCTAGGTCGTTCTTGCGTGTCTTACGAGTCTTTGAATCGATCGATAATTCTCTAACCTCCAATCAGCAGCATCTCACGTTGCAACAATATGCTAGTAAATAATCGTATTAAATAGGTTAATAATACAGTCATTCGAATATCATTTTCAACCGAATAACAATCTAACAGTTAAATATACTATTCATTAAAGATACTTTGAGAACATTGTGTTTAAGTGAAATTAAATACGAGTAGTATATTTGACATTTTACGATTTCATCTTCCTTTCCATAAACGAATGAACGATATTACGTCATAGATTCCTGTTAAAGTATGAGAAATGTTAGAAATTCAAGATTGCAGTTTGTTTTTTCATTATCCAACATCATTAACTTCACAGTTAGAATTAAATAGCATGTTGCTGCCTTATTATTCTTCTCTTTAAATATATAAGTTTATGGTTTGTACAGCAAAATATATGTTACTTATATCAACGAATTTTACCTAAATGTTTAATTACTTCCCAATAGTCTATGTGTCTTAAACATATCCGCAAGACACCTCGTTAATAAGACCTTTTAATTAAAATGTTGTTTTACGAGTACACTCTACTAATTCTTTCATAAATGAACATAGAAACACCTGAAATTATTCACTACAAAAAGGAAGTTCAGTGTTACTTATTCGGTCCTTAATACTTTGGAAATTTTATTCATCTTCATTTTTAAACCGTAATTTATAGTGTCAACTGACAAATACTGATCCACTAATAAGATTATACTAATAAAAAGGAAAGAATTTTCCACAACAATTGACATACAACACTTCAAATTTATTGAATGGAAAACTTAATTTTTCTGAAAATATTTCCTTAATGAAGAGTGTTGCGTTAGTAGATACATGTAGCAAATACAACTAGGTATTTTACATTAATAAACACTCTTCTAATGTACATTTACATTAGAATACTTCAATTTTACGCTAAATAAAACTGGGCATTTATATTATCGACCTAGTTATATATCTATTATGATTCACTATCTATCTAACAGTAAAACTATGAAGCAACATTCATTTCATACATAAATTATTAATCAAAACAGAATTTTTTTTAAAACAATGAGTCTTAGCAGTGATTAAATATAATTTAATTAAGTTTAATTATTTCATTAATTGTTTTTGTTGTTGAGAAATCTTAATTTCTCATTAATGAATATTAATGTGTTACAATACAATTGTGCTTTTCTATAGAGAATTATGTACAACGTATTTCAGACTTAATTAAAGGAGCATTAAATAAAATAACACTTATATTCATTAATTTTGTAAACTAAAATAGAAAATTTCAATCGATGATATAGTGAGTCAGTTGAGGCTCCACCACCATGGAAAAACCTGGAAGCAGTGGACGGCCATCTCGTCCCAGTATAGGGCTTGTCAGCAGGGTAGACGTGGGATCCCTCACACGGGACTCGAACCCAGAACCTTCGTGTTTGCACGTGCACGCCTAACTTCTAGACCATCATCCAACGCTATTAATATGTAGCTTTAATTCTGGATTTATGTACAGTATGTGGGATCGTGAGGGCAACTTTGCTGAGGAGTTTCGTACTAGGACGAAACGGTCACCCAGTGCTTCCAGGTTTCCCAGGGTGGTCTAACTTAAATCAACTCATGAATTCAACCATTAAATTACTACATTTTCCGAAAACCTTCATTCTGGCAATAAAAGTGGAAATATGCTTAGTTTGTAAAAACAAACATTTCAAGTAGGCGCATTTTATCAAATTTATTATCAAAGGTTTAATATGAGGAAACACTAGTCCATCAACTTGAGCTTGATAAATATAACTCAGTACATTTAAGATACAGTGTTCGATGTAATGATTTGAAAATATGTTGTAACTCAAAAGAATGTAGTTCTTTCAGAACCAAAGTAAATGTTA